ACTGATCTCACACTGGCTTTCCTCATGGTTACAAGGAGGATGCCAAGCAACAACAGAGGCAACATACTTCCTTGTTCCCATCCATGGGGACTAGTAAAAGCATCTCCCCTTCAATCCTGGTCTGTAAGTCCTTCTTTTCTGTCTGATTAGGCTACTGTCAGTTATGTGCCATTTCCTGGACCAGTTGTAGTCTCTAGGAGAAGGCTGTGCACCGATTGGCTTAAACTTAGGTCTAGGTCCAATCATTGGCAAGGGATGGCTGTGACTGGCTAGGAGCAATCCCGATCTATCGATTCTCAATCGTAAGGAGATGTGTATAAAACTTCTCCTGGTCATGTAGGTTGAATGGGAGAAGAATGGTTACCTGAATAAATTGGGATCCTCTAGGAAGGAGGATGGGAAAACAGATGCTGAGAGGGGGGAAAAATCACTTTGAATTATTTCGAGTGAGTTTCTGATCACTGTAGTCACGGAGTCCTTGGACAATCAACTTCCTGGTCTGTGGCCAGATGCCTTTGTCCAGCCCCTCTGCAGCTTGATTCTAATTTTCTCCTCTGTTCTGCAGCCTCTGCTATTGCCAGCATTTCTCACCGCTAGCTCATCGTTTTGGCAAGCTGACATCTCATTCTGCTCCAAGCCCCACGGATGGAGCTAAAGATCCCTTTAGCAGAATTGATTCTGGCATGTTCTAATTTTAAAAGCCTTGCACTTCTCTGCATGTGGGATGCTGAGATCTATGCCCATATAGGCAGAGAGAGTAAATTCTTCTGAGGAAATCCTATTTTTAACAAGTTCTGAACCTAATTGAACTTAATCATCTTTGAGTTGCTGACACTTGAAATGTGTGAGTCACTGGGCTATGTATGGAGCTGAGGGCTAGAGTGGCCCTTTAAATATCAGAGAGATGGTAGATATCAGCTTCCAGAAGAACAACTCAGGTTTGGAGCTGTGGTTGCACTCAGGTTCATGGTAAAGCATGGGGTTCTAGAGACAGAGAGTCGTAGGTTCAAATATTGGCTCCTCCACTTGCTGCAAATGTCCCTCTGTTTCTCTAAGCCTCAGTTTCCTCATCTCTAAAATGAGAATGGTTACACTTATCCTATAACACTTGTGGATCTTGAGAAGAAAAGACTCCTTGTAATTGACTGGGCACAAATTCATAACCAGAGTCTACCAGCCATTGCTGATGGAGGCCTCCCACCCACCCTGCATTCCAGGGAAAAGCCGCAGACTGGGCTAGCAGCCTCCTGCACGGCGTTCCTGCGCCATCTTTGAACCAATGGACTGAGATCTGCTCTGGACAATCAGAACTGTTCTGACCAATCAGGACAGTGATATTTGGACCAATCAGACTGCGCCAATTTGGATTCCTCATTTGCATAAAGTGGACCAATCAGGAAACAGGGTGGGAACATTTCTTATAACAAGTGGGCTCCCCCTTGCCTTTTGTAGAGAGCACACTTTTGGTTTCCTCCAGAGACTGTATGTTCCTGGGTTTCCAAACCTGAATAAAGAGTCTCCATTTCTGCACCTCAGACTGGGAACTTCTGCTGACAACTTTGTGTGAGTCATCAAGGCCTGACATGAGGCTACTCGTAATCTTTATTTATTCTATTGGTATTAATAGGTATACATTTCTTTGCAGAAATGTTGTGTTTGATTTTGACAAGTTGCCCAAACCACGTAGGTAATAAATATACTTTCACACTAACATCCTTCATGGTTACAGTATGGCTGACAGCAACATCAGAGACAACAGGCCTCCTCTTGCACCACATTACCTCCCTGAAACCAAAAAATATGGTAGTTCTAAGACACATTTGTCTCAAAATTTTAGGAACAAGAGAATGCAAATCTTAGTATGAGTGAGCTACAGTTCACTCAAACAGCTGGGAGGTAGGGTGGAAATCACACGGCATCAAAATTACCCTAGAAAACCAATTACTTCCCTTCAGCAATGCGGCTGCTTCTTGAGTTTAGCCCCAGAGGAAGTGGTTGGCTTGTATAATATTCCAGGGCCATTTGTATAAAAAAATGTTTGTCTTTAAACTACCAAACTCAGGCCAGGGAAAAATGCTCATGCCATGAGTCAAAGGGGACTTGGTTCCTACTGGGTTCCCGTTTCCTGGTTTCATGCTCACAGAGGGTGGGTGCTCCTGAAGATAACACGCGCCGATTCCCCTGCACTGGTGAACTTCTCTTAAATTATTCCTCTCTCCCTCTCTCATTTTGCAGAGCAAGACGATTTTGGCTTCTTTGAGTTCGCGCAGGTAAAGCAGTACCGAGCAGGTAGAGTGCGAGAGGGAGTAGGGCAGCGGGGTTAGGAGATGGTGAGTGGAGATTCCAGTGAATGGCAACTGAGAAGTCGGTGTGATTGGCAGGGTCAGGGAAGCTGAGCATCGACTGAGTCAAAGAGTTAGTGTCATGCGGTTCGAGCTAGTCTTGGGTCGCTGAGAAGCGTGTCCTCAACCCTCCCCCCACCCAAAACTTCCCATTCACTAGCTGTTCTGTGATCGGTGCCGAAGAGCCTTGTGCCCGTCCAGCGCATTCCAGGGGAGAATGCCCCCTCTGTCCGGGTCACAAAGGCGCCTGTTCCAGGGGCCTGAAAACAACGGAACTTGCGGCGGGGGGTTGGTGCAGGCGGGCCACGCGGCAGGGAGGCCTCCGGGCGCCGTGGGACACGCCGTCAGAGCGCTTCTACGGACGCCCCGGTAAATTTCCCCTGCGCCATGCGGTTGCACCTGCTGCTCCACAGCTCCCCCTACTGGAAAAAAAAATCAAAGATATGACTGTCCGCAGCCCATTCTGACTTAGGGCTGCCCTAAACTTGGAAAATACATGACCCCCTCACTTAAACATAAATTACAATGTGTCAAATAACCCCAAGAAAGCCGAGCAAACTTCCACTTCACCCCGTAATGATCCCCCAGTTTTGTTTTTAGTTTGTGGGTGTTACTGCATGCAACCCCGCGTGGCTAGTACCCGAGTTTATGTTTAACATTCCGCCAGGCTCTGCAGCCCTGGTTCTGATGTTACCGGCTCCTCTCGCAGAGCTGGCGTTTATAGTTCATGCAGTGGCTCCTCCCAGGGGCCCCGCAGAGCCCATCAAAGGTCTGGCTTTTCTTTTAAAGGCAGATTGTTTAACTTTAGCAGCAGAGAAGGAACCAGCCTCCTCAACCAGGCTAATTAAATATTAGACAGTAAAGATGCTACCCACCTGAGAGCAGACTTCATTCATTCAAACAGTGGTTGCTACGACCTTATCACGTACCCAACACTGCAGATGCTGTAGCGGGTAGACTGAGGCCCAGGGAGAGGCACTTGCACAATTCTCCTTGACCCGGACCTCTGGATTTCTCAGCACTTTCTGTCTCTTACTACTGCTCCCCAGACGTGGGCAGCTTTGAGACTCTTCCTAAGGATTGCAAACTCAAATTCCTGCTGGCTCCAGGCAGTTACAGGAAATGTGGAATTGGGGGAAGGAGGAATAAGTAGGAAGGAGTGGAGCTGGCAGCCAGGAGAGTGAGCGCTTGACCCACATTCACATTTTAATGGACTGCCTGCTAAGTGCTTTGCAAAACTGAAGGCAGGCTGAATTTGCCCTGGAGGCCTTGGGTCTGAGACCATTGAAGGAGACCGGACAGGGGTGTGCCAGGGGCCAGGATATTTGTGGGGCCCTCTGGAGGCCTAGCTGTGAGAATGGGTGGATTTGCTCTCAGGGAACAGAGTGGGCCCAGAGAACTCAAGGGCCTTGCCCACGGTTGTAAGTGGCCAAAGAGGAATGTTCGCTGGGATCTGGTGATGGACGCACCCAGCGCTTTAACCCCTGCCCTGCAGGGCCCCTAATGGGTGGCAAAGCTGGAAGTTTCTGCCTTCGGAATCTAGCCCCTGGGGTCTGGGAGTAGAGGGCAGGGGATCGCACAGCCCCAGAGGGCTTGTAAGGGTGAAGTTGTCGCTCCCTCCTCTGAACACCTCCAGGCCAAATAAGTTCCAAGATATGACATGATAAAAACGCCTCTCAGTACCAACAGCTCCTGCTTTGAAAGATGGGGGCCCACACAGCTGGAGCTGGATCAGTAGCGCTTTGACCCCCTTGGAGGACATGCTACCCTGTTGCCATTTGCCACCCTTCTTTGGGAACACAGGGAGCAGGAGGCTAACGGACACGTTGGAACCATCTGCCCGGCTCCTAATAATAAATCATGAGAGAGGAACAGGTTTTCGGCAAACATTGCTTTAAAAAAAAAAAAAAGCCTCTTTTCACACCCGGGCAGCCATCTGCCGTGTCCTTCTCGTGTGCCAAGCTGTGGGAGGAGGAAGGGCCTGTGAGGGGTGGGGAAGGGAGGCTGTGCCCCTGGGATCCTGCACCGTCAGCAGAGGTGGCTCACAAGTTCGCTCCCTTTTGCCACTATGGACAGGGCGCTGCAGAGAGAGAGGAAGGAGCAGTCGCTGGGTTTGACGTCCCTGGGTCTGATATCTGAGCAGAGGGAAAGGACAATTCCTTCAAGATGCCAATGGTAGGTAACAATAGCTCCTGTGTAGAGAGAGCTTACTGTGGGTCATGCACTGCGCCATGCAGTGTGCATGTGTCAGCCCATTTAATCCGGACAACCAGTTTATGGGTGCCCACTTTGTAGATGAGAGACCAGAGGCCCAGGGATGTTAGTGACTGGCCCAAGATCACACAGCAAGCCTGTTTTTTCAGTGTGCAATAAAGAGGCCTAGTCTCCTCTCCATCCTGGCATCCTCATCAGGGAGGTAACAGATAAGCAGTTGACATCAACTAAGGGCGGTGTTGCACCTTCAGCCTCGCCCCAGGCACCCCCTCCTGTTCTCTGCCCTTGGTCTGAAATACGGGCTTCTCCAGTCACCTAAGCTGTTGCTCATGCCCCCGTCTCACCCAGTCGAAGAAGCACAGGAGAAAAGACTCCGACGTTCCCCAGGAACTTTCAGAGAAGGCAAAAGAGCAGCTAGTTGAGGCGGAGCTTCGGAAGCTGAGACAGCAGTTCCGGAAGATGGTGGAAAGTCGGAAATCCTTGAACTTCCACTCCCAGCAGGTGCTCACGTACCAGCAGTAAGTGATGGTCGGGGTTTTGTACTAAATGAACCTGGAGAAAATTTTGGTTTTGGTTTCATGGGCCTTGCTTACTCATATGGCCTCGGGCCAGGGGCCCACTTTGGAACTCAATCTGGGGACCACTTGGGAAAACCCAAGTGGGGAGGGGATATTTATTCTCAGGGACTCCGGGGGGAGCAGGGCCCCCGTGTCTCAGGCAAGGACCCTAATGAAAAACCATTTGCAGGTCTTGGTGCTTTCCACGTGGGCTTTCTCTCTCTGAATCTCAGCTGTGGCTGGTTGGAGGTGCTGCCTCCACTCCTGAGCTACCAAGGGCCACACAGAAAGACTGCTGTGAATCAGCTCCAGTCCTGAATTCCTAAGAGGGAGAAACCAATGGGGCAGCTTGGGTCAGGTGTCTGCTCCTGGAACAGTCAGCTGTGGCCAGAAGTGGGGCAGGGGCACAGGACACAAAATGGCCGTGGGTATCATTCCCGTGGTTCTGGCACTGGAGGTGGGAGTGCCCAGAGCGGGGGAAATCACCAGGTTATGGACGCCCCAAAGGATGCTTCCTGCTTGCGCATCCTTATGGGATCTGCAAGATAGAATATTTGAAATTGGGTTGCCCTAGAATTATGGTGTGTATAGTGTCTTTGGGCAGTAGGAAGGTGTTCCCCAGGGATGAATAAACAAACAAACAGATATTCTTAGATTCCCTCCAAGGGAATATAATTCCTTAGCTCCATCCATAATGTTTGTACCGGCAGAAACTGCCCATTGTTAGAAAGAAAATCTTATTGTTAGATGATGTGTGAAATTCAGAGGATAGGAAAAAGGGGTTCTTTAGGTTTTCCATGGATTTGGCTCACTCACAGCCATGGCTAGTCCGTATGGGATCCTCATGTCAGCTAGAAAAAGGCAGGGTACTTCTGGTCAAGATGGTGGTGTAGGTAAACACAGCTCCCACAACCATATCAAAAATACAAGCAAACTACAGAACAACCATCATTCAGAACCATCAGAAATTGAGCTGAATGGAAGTCCTATGGAATGAAAAAACAAACTGTATCGTGACTGGGAGAAAGGGCAGAGATGTGGAATGAGCTGGCCCCACGCCCACACATGGCGGATAAAAATCGGGAGGGATATCTCAGGATTGGAGGATCCTAGCCCCACAATGGCCTGTGTCCCAGCCCAGGGTTCCAGTGCCAAGAAAAAAGTTGCCATAACTTCTGGCTGAAAAAACCAGCTAGGATTGAGATTTTGGAAGACAGAAACTGCTGGAATCCCTGCAAGTTCCCTTAAAGGGCCCATGCACAGAATTACACTCACTTGCTCTGAGCTCCAGTGCAGGGGCAGCAGATTGAACCACTAGGAACACACGAAGAAAAACTGAATTGTCCAGCATCAGGGCAAGAACTGGGGAGCAGCTGTATCCCAGACAGAAGTGCCAGGAGAGACCACTGTTCCTTTTCTGAGCCCTCCCCCACAGAGCCACAGAACCGGCAGGCTGGCTCCGCATGTTTTGCCAAAAAACTGCACAAGACATGATGCACGAACGGATGCATTGTCATGATGAAGCTGCCAATCACCAGTTGCCCACCCCTGCAGTCTTCTGAATCATCTGAATAGTTTCCACAGACGAATGTTCAAGCTTAACATGAAATTTGATGCAGACACGTTGCTCTACTCAGTCATTTTGAATGTGATGACCACACAGTACACACGCTTACTTAATGGCTTCTACTGCCTCCACTGACTAGTACAGTGAAGTCGTCATTGTTCACACACACATATTCCAGTCCACTCTCCTTGGCTGCCAGCTTACATCAATGCCATGTAAACTGTTGTCATTATAATAACAATGACCAGACTTTTGCTGGATAGACCTTGTATGTACATGACCCGTGGACATGGCCAATGGGGTAGGGAAACCTGAGGGGGTGGAGGGGTGCTATGTGCAGGAGGGCAAAGGAGGAAAAATTGGGACAACTGTAATAGCATAATCAATAAAATATAATTTTAGGCAAAGGAAAAGGCACCCTCTTTCAAGACACTTTATTGCCATCTGTTGGGAACATTGTTATTATGTAGGGATTTTATTAGAACAAGATAAAAGTGTCTCCCTGAAAAGCGTAATAGATCAACAAATCAATGAGATATTTTTTCAAGCTGACAGCGCTCTCGGGGCTGCACAGTCCCCTACCCCCACATCCGAGCGGGCAGTCCTGGCCCCGCTGTCCCTTCCCTGGCATGCCTCTGACAGTTATCGTGAATCGCTCTTTTGCACCTCGTTCTGCCCTGCCCCGCCCCAGTCCTTTTGATCTGGTGTCACTGTGATAGAGCTGAGAGCGGGAGGAGTGGGAGAGCAGAGATTTTCAACCCTGCAGAGTGAAACCCCTGTAAATAGCCACAGAACAGAGGTGCGGTGAGTAAGCTGCCCAGGGTGCAGCATTTAAGGAAGTGCTTTTCCCTAGTGCTGCCCCTGCCCTTGAACCACCCTGAGAGGGAAGACGACCTTAAACTTTTGTGTGCCTCACGTCCCCTCACCGCAGTCCCAGCCCTGCCTGTGAGACAGGCCTGCCTTCTGCTTTGGCCCCTCCCTCTGAAAGCCTGACTTGGGGAGACTCTTGTGCTCCCTCTCTGTCTTTTCACCTTTACAAAGACTCCCTCCCAAGAGGGGCTTAAAGGGAAAGAAGAGTCCGAGCTGCCAGGTTTGGAAGACTAGATAATCTAGAACAGGGAGTACACACCGGTGGTCCCTAGCCACATGTGGCTGTTTGCATTTGCAATGAATGAAATACAATTTAAAAATCAGTTCTTCAGCTGCACTAGGTACATTTCGAGTGCTCAGAGCCACACGTGCCTGGTGTATGTTGTTAGAGGGAGCAGCTAGAGACCACTTCACTGCAAAATGTACTGTTGGATGGTGCTGTTCTAGGACAGTGGTCAGCAAAGGACGTCCCTTAGGGCAAGTCTGGCTGGCTGCCTGTTTTTGTAAATAAAGTTTTACTGGAACACAGCTACGCTTATTTGTTTATGCATTGCCTATGGTTACTTTGGTGAGTAGTTGCAACAGAGACGGCTGGCGGGAAAAGCCTGCGATATTTACTCTTTGGTCCTTTATAGAAAAAGCTTTGCAGATGCTTACCTTAGAACATTCTTTGCTGTTCTAGTGTGGTGCTTCCAAAACTTTAATGGACATGTGAGTCACTTGAGGATCTTGTTACCAAGCAGGTTCTGATTCAGTAGGTCCTGGGTTGGGACCTGCACTTTTGCGTTTCTCTAAGCTTCCAGAGGATGTTGATGCAGCTGGTTGCAAACCACACTGAGCAATAGGCGTAGGAGGAGGGTGCCCAGAGTTGGCTAGAAGCTCAGCCTCTGTGCCACTTTCTATTGTTCAGTTGTCTTGCAGCGTCATGAGCTTTTTCTCTTTTCTAAATTCTTGATGCCCACATCCCCCACCCTCTCTCTTCTCCAGAGTAGACAGAGAGAAAGCAGGAGACGCATGTGTCCGCCAATTTAACAAATCATTAGCACCCCGGGTAGAGAAACTGGTGGAGGTTAGAGGTTACTGTGCATTGCTGTGTTGATGCAAAATTGAAAAATTCTGCCTGATGGGTTTGCCTCTCATTATCAGAGATAATTGGCTGTAAAGTATAGAAAGAAAGTCTGCAAAATCAGACAGATGCCAGCGAGCTGGGGGCAAAAGAAAACGTGGGGGCTCTCACCATGTCTGGGTAATGGGTTTTGACAGGCACAGCTGCAAATTGTTCCCTAGGAAAAAAACTGCCCCTCAGAGAAAGGTAGAGCAGTGGAAGCTGCATTGGATCGCAGTTGCTCTGAGTTCTAGACCTGGATCAAAGATGCAGGTGGGCAGGTCCCTTCCACTGCTTTGGTGGAATGTACCTCTCCAAGTCCCCTTTCACAATGAAGGAATCTGGTACGTCTGATCAAGGTGAACTCGAGCATTCAGGGTTAATCATGCACTGCTTCCCTAACAGGAAGGAAATCAAGACCCTGCAAGAGGAGCAGGACGAGATCACCCTGCTTTTGAGTCTCATCAAGTCCTCCAAGAACTTAGATCTGAATGAGAAAAACTACATGGAGCTGCGTTTCCTGCTGCAAACCAAAGAGGACTACGAGGCCTTGATTAAATCGATGAAACTACTGTTGGCTGAACTGGATGAGAAGGTATGGTCTCTCTCTTAACGGGCTAACCAGAACACAGAGCAAAGGGAAGGGGTGGGGGAAGTACCCATGATGCCTTAGGCCAGATCTGCCATCCCCCATATTCACTTTCCTAACTAGGACTGTAGTCATTGTCTCCACTACCTTGTAACCCCCGCTCTCCCAGCTCTGTTGATCCATTTCTCCACTGTGACCTCCGGTGCTTCCCAATGCACTTTGAATAAATCCCCAAATTCTCACTGTATCAGTCAGGAGATGTCTAATTATGCTGCAGTAACAAACATCCCCCCCAAACTCAGTGGCTTAAAGTAATAAAGTCTTCTTCCTCATTCATACTTCCTGTCTATCAGGGATTGGCTAGGGACTCTTATATCTTCTCATCCAGGGACCAGGCCAATGGGATGGCCACCACCTTGACCGTTGCCAGGTGTTGTGGTAGAAAAAAGAGAGCTCTGGACAGCCTCGCGCTGGCAATGGATTGCTCTAGTGATGTGTGTCACTTCTGCTCATGACTGATTGGCTCAAAATAGTCTAGCAAATCCACAAATACCCCAAACACCCACCCCAAACTGGTCAACTCTAGCCATCCACAAAAGAGTCCAGTGGATGTAGCCCTCCCATGGATTTGGAAGACAAAGAATGAGAGATGTCTGCTGGGTAGCATTAATAACTCTACCCCTTCTTATGGCTTAAAAAGCCCTGTGTGATCTAGCCCCAGTCTGCCCGTTGGCCTCATTCCACATCATTTCCCCCTTCACTCATCTCACCCTACCTCAAAGACTGTTTCCCCCCTCAAATATGTGAAGTCTTTCCTCACCCCAGGGCCTTTGCACATGCTACCCCTGCCCCCAGTCACCTTGGCTACTTGCTTTTTAGGTCTCAACTGAGATGTGGCTTTCTCAGGGAGGACTGTTCTGTGCCATCTCTCCAGTTTGCAGTGTGTCCCCCTTGTATTAGCCAGCCTTTGGCCAGGAACAAACAGCACACTCAGTAGGCACTTGGAGAAGAATTTTATGAAAGGATGATTTACGGGGATATGAATTCCGAGCAGGGACATTGAAGCATTGTAGGGTTAGTGACAGTGGACAGGAGGGGCAGTCTGGAACCTGGAGACAAGGAGCAAGCCAGGGGGAATAAGTGCCCCAGCCTCTCTGCCTTCTTACCCTCTGCTCCCCAGGGCAAGGTGTCATCATGGGCTCCTTCCAGGCCAGCCTTCGGGGCACAGGGCAGGGTGGGTGGAGCAGGGTGGAGACAGAGCTTGGAGTGGGGTGCAAACAGGAGATCCCAGCACACCTCCTTAGCCTCTTCATGACACCACATGCCACTTCCTTCATAGCACTTCTCACAGTGGTAGTTGACATTGGTGTCATCTAATGTCTCCCTAACCTGTCACCTCCATGAGGGCGAGGACCATGCTGGTTTTGTTGTCCTGTATCTATTCTAGTGCCCAGAACATAAGGTCCTCAATAAGTATTTACTGAATCTGGAAATCCCATGGCATCCTTCCTCTGCTTCAGACCCTTCGGTAATTTCTGTTGTTCTGGTGACGAAGGCCAAGCTCCCCAGTGTGGTTTGCTGGCTTCGTTGCCTTGTGCCCCTCCTGTCTCTCCCACCTTCTCTCCAGGTCTCCCCTTCCCTGTGTTCATCCACGCTGGATGCCTTCATGGACTGCAGCACTCCCTCACTTCAGGCCTTTGCACATGCTGTTCCCTCTTGCTTGGAGCACTCTTCCCCGTCCTCTCTGCTTGAACTCCTATTTATTCTTCTGGTCTCAGCTCAAATGCTGTTTCTGCAGGGGATAGTCTTTCCTGTGCGGTGTCCCTGCTGTGCGAGTCCACAGCACTTTTTCTCCCTTTTTCCGGGAGCTGATGGTGCTTCCTGGCTTGTTTCCAGCCCTGGATTGTGAAGCCCCTGAAGGCAGGAATCCGCTGTCCTGATGACTGTCAGGCATCTTTTGTCTGGCACAGAGCAGGTGTTTAATAAGCACTGATGAACGAATAAGTGAGTGAGTGAGTCAGAAAGGAGGTGATATATGTAAAGGAAAAGGAAAACTGAAGATAAGATAGGGACACAGGTCCTCAGAAACATTAGGAAAAGGCAGCCTACTTTGGGATCCTCCAAAGAATATGGCACTCATGCCTAATGCAAAAACCATTTTTGTCTAATTTGATCCCATGGGGGACAGATCCTAGAATCCCTTTCTGCTGTGCCTCCCTCACAGTGCCCAGAGCTTTGTCCTTGCAAGAGGTCACTGGAGGCCGGGACCTTCATGGCCCCGGTTGGCCTCACAAAACAAATAACAAACGTGTGCCTTCCTGCTGGGGGAGAGCATCTTGTATAGACCATCCATTTCAGTCAGCGCAGCCTTGGATTATGGCTCCCATTGGGTGGAGGCCAAATAGCTCTCAGCATCACAAAAGCAGCCTCTGACTTAAAGGCGCCACAGGGAAAGAGGGCCGATTCAGTCAGGAGAGCCCCCAGGAGATGCTGATGCCACAGCTTTCCTCGACAAGGAGCTGCAGCCAGAGGACTCTGGGGTCAGCTCTGGCAGGGAAGGGCACCCCTTCAGGGCAGGCGACCCCACAGTCTGGAGATGCTGTCTTCCCATGTGTTTAAACCTGTCATTTGTTTTATTTCACAGGTGAGTTGGGGGGCGGTTTGTGGTGAGATGCTGCCTGGAATAGGAGAGGAGAACAAAGTAGAATAGGGAACCTGACGTGACTTGAACCTGACTTTGTCAGGGCTGATGACACTCTTTGTTTTCCTCTTGCTCTGAGGGAACGTGGCAGGAAGTGCACGTGTGTTCCAGGTAAAGTCCAAAGTCACACGCTTATCGATCACAAACACCATTCATTTGCCTCACCAGTTTGTGCGAGGCCCAACGGCTGGTGCCCTTGATGTCTGATCATCTGAGCTGCCATCTTGCTATTACTGTGTCAGTGAGAATGTGTTAGGCTGCAGGTAACAGAATTCTTGACTGGAAGCAGCTGGGAGATGAGAGGTTTGTTTTTCTCACATAATAAGATGTCTGCTTGGAAAGAGGCCATGCCATGGATGGTCTAACAGCTCTCTATTGATGGGTTGGTCCTTTTCTCTCTGATCCTCTTGGTTGGCCATCTCCTCATGGTCACAGGCGGCTGCCAAAGCTTAGCTGGTATAGCTTCCCACATAATCACATTCAGATATGAAGAAGGGATGGGACATTTTCTCACGTGATAGTCTCTTTTTAGGAGGGAGAGACTATTTTACAAAGTTTGCTTTACGGATTTTGCTAGAAAATCCCTCCAGTAGATTTTCCCTCATTAGCCAGGGCTAAGGTATATGCCCACTTCTAGGCCAATCAGTGGCAAAAGGAAGTAGAATTTCCATAATTGGTTTGGGGTGGCCCAGGGGCAGCAAACTACAGTTCATGCTGCTGTGCCGCCCGCCTGGTCACAGTCTACAGCCCACAGCATGCATATATCTATGCGTAGATATATATTTTAGTGTCCCACGTTGATGGCTGAGACTGTGCTGTACAGACTTTCCTGAAGGCCTGGGGATAACGGAAGGGAATTAAAACTCAGGGACGCTAACACAGGATCACAGATGCAACTGCTCCCAGAATTCATCAGCTAAGCTCTGCACGGGGGCTCCTCCCGCCAGCTAGAGCTGGCCTCCCTGTGGCTACAGACTTTACAGTGCATCACACCGAGCACGTAACCCCCCTCGTCTCAATTCCAGAGCAGAAGCTAGGCTTCAGACTGTCCTCAGAGGTGAATTGGGCCACTACATCTAGACAGACAGGAACACACTGGGTTGTTTAAAAATGACAGTATTCCCTTCATCCCCCTGCTGCCTGTACTCACTGCGGCTTCAAAAAAAGTCTCAGAGCTTAGTCTCAGCCCCAACCCTAAGAATACAAAGGACCTCTGATATGCTTAACCTGGCACTCGCCTGTTCTTAAGGTTACTTTTTTTCCAATAATGGTTCTATAAATTTATCTACAACCTTAAGGACTTAGCATCAGCCAGCTATCTAGAGGAGGCTAAATGCTGGCAGATACTATAGGTGTTTGCCTCGTGTGGACTGAGGTGCACCACGAATTAGCTATGCGTACTCTTGGCAGTGTTTGGAAATGACTTTATCCACAGTGATTGTATGAGAAACAATGAAGTGAGCTCCCTGGAAAGGTGACAGGGGATGTTTGGGCCCAGAGAACTTGGCTGGCGTTACAAAGGTAGAGAGAGACACTAAAATTCTTTCTTGCTGGCTGAAGCAGGGTGTATTTCACTTATTTGAAGTCAGAATCCATTATCCTTATGGATAGTCCATGGGGTGTCAGGAATGCTTCTGGTTGCTGGTAACATATAATACCCAAGAGGAGCATGGACTAAAAGGATATGTACTTATCGATTATTTTTAAATAGACTTTAAAATTTGAAATCATTTTAAATTTACAGAGATGTTATGAAGATAGTTCAGAGTTTTCGTATACCCTTCCCCCAGTTTCCCCTGAGGCAAACACCTTACCTTATCCATTTGAACTAAGAAATGAACATGGGCACAATACTGTTCGCCGAACGACAGACCTGATTTGGATTTCATTAGGTTTTTCATTAGTGTCCCTTCACTGTCCCAGGGGCCAAGCATCACGTGGCGTTGCGTTTGGGATACCGTATTTATCCTCTGTTGAGCAAGAAGCCCTCTGGACATAGGTGGCCTCAGGGTTGTTTCACCTGCTTTAGAAGATTGTGGTGGCCACGCCTTCCTCCGCATTCTGAGCCTGCGTCCTTCACCTCCGCTCAGCCGGCCTCCTCAGAGGAAGGGTGCCGTTGCCCTTCTGCAAGGCCAGGCCCCTCCTGTGTTCGCGCCCACAGCCCCCCCCCCCCCGCCATGAAGACATGGCTTTATCAGCAACCACCCTTATTGTTCTCTTTGTCACCCTCTCTTTGTCTCTTTACTCTTAAAAAAAAAAAAAACAACTAAAAACCAAACACAACCAAAAAAAACAAAATAAAATACAACACTCCTGCAATTTACTGGCAGCTTCTCCCTTTCTAGACGTATCTGGAAGGAATTGTCTGTATTCCGTTTCCCTACCTGGGTAGCCACTCTCCGGTACCTCTCCCCGTGGTCACAGCAGTGTTCCCCGCCCCCTTCCCCACCGAAACCGCTGGTGAAGACTCATCTCTCCTGCAAGAAGGGACCTGCCACATACACAGCCCCCCCATGGGTCCCCTTTGGACAGTGGTTCTTAAACCTGTCATTCTCAACACCCATTTCTGTTCCTTTCTTCTTAAGATCACTTCCTTTCTTCCTCCCTTATCCCTCCCTCCTTCCACTGAGTTATTAATTATGCCCAGGCAAGGGCACACATTTTAAGGGTGCACCTTGATGAATTTTTACACTTTTATACACCCGTGTAACCATCACCAAGATCAAGATATAGGACCTTCAAGCACCCAGAAGGCTCCCTTGGTGCCCTCCCATTACCCAGCCTTCCAGGGGCCCATCTCCCGACCCTGGAATCGTAGACGTGTTTTGCCTGCACATAAAACTGCATATAAATGACCCCTCTGGTTGTGCTCTTTGTGTCTGATTTCTTCCACTCAGCCTTGCATCTGCCAGCACCCCTTTTTTGACAGTGAACACTTTGTAATACCTCCTTCACAATTCTTAAATAAAATTCATAGGCAGTGTAATCCTTTACCCTTATTCTTTTAAATCATCATGATGCTCTAATGATAATATAAAGGAGAAATAAACAAGTTACTTATAGTAAAATTATTTATTTAAATAAATGTAAAACGATGTATTTTGATACGTGAATGTTCTGGCCCGACTTATCTAGAACATGGCCAGCAAACTGTTTCTGCAGAGGGACAGGTAGCAAATAATTGGCTTTGTGGACCATGTTGCAACTACTTCTCTCTGTCTTTGTAGCAGGAAGACAGCCCTAGACAATAGATAAAGAATGGGCATGACTGTGAGCCAATAAAACTTTATCTATACAAACAGGCAGTGGACGGATTTGGCCAAGGGGCTGATCTAGAAGATAGAGTCAGAGGTCCGCTATCGATATTCACAGAATCCCTGAGCATTCCATGCCGCAGACTGATTCACGTTTATTGTATCCGCAGCTCAGAGAACGTGGGCCATGTTTTGCTGGTCACATGATTTCCAAAATGGTGGCCAACTCTTGGTGAAGTTCCAAACAAAGAGCCTTCTTTTGATCTATACAGTGACTACTTTCCTGGATAATATAGTATCTTTTAGAAAAGAATGAAAAATACTGTGTATTTTTATGTAGAAGACAGTTTGATTCTAGGTACAGAAAATCATAGCAGTTTTTTTTACCTGCATAACATCCAGGGGACACTGGGCAGTCTATGGGGGACAATTCTTGGATGTCTGGTGCTGTGTCACATGTTGCAGGATGTGTGACATTTCATGACTCACCCTTTAAGTGCAACTAGTGTCCCATCATTGCAAGAGCCCAAAAACTCTCCACAAGGTTACAGAAGACTTTTTGAGGGAAACACCTGTTGGAAACCATGGCTTTAGGGTAAGGTGGAATTTACACCCACAGTGAAATTTACATACACAGGTGAGAGCAGAAACTCTAAATTGCCTCATTTTACCCTAAACTGGCTAAGATTAAGTTGAATTGAGCATGCATCGAAGAGAGAAATTAAAATTCCATTTATGGGAAAAGAAAGAACGTAGCAGGTTTTGTTTTAGCACGGTCAAGTGAGCGAACTATTTAACCTGTACCCATACAGATGTTAACGCAGCTGGGTTGTTCCTTTCTTCCTTTTCTTTTCTTTCTTTCTTTCTTTCTTTCTTTCTTTCTTTCTTTCTTTCTTTCTTTCTTCCTTCCTTCCTTCCTTCCTTTCTTTCTTCCTTTCTTCCTTTCCTTTCCTTTCCTTTCCTTTCCTTTCCTTTCCTTTCCTTTCCTTTCCTTTCCTTTTCTTTTCTTTTCTTTTCTTTTCTTTTCTTTCTTTTTCAGATTATTCAGATGGAAAAAAAAATAACAAACCAAAAACAGATCTTCACAAAAATACAGGAGGCCAATAGTCCCCGGAAACTGCAAAAACAGATCCACGTGTTAGAAACTCGTCTGAATCTTGTACGTAGAGTATTCTCTGCATCTTTGCAAACAGCTCTGCCTCTCTTTGCTCAGGGAAAAGGGAGATGTCTGGGGTGCCCTAGCAGAACATACTCGTTTAGTGGGTGGACTTGGGGGGTGGTGAACTAATGGTGTCCGTCTAGACCATGCTGCCTGTTAGAATTTACCATCCGCTCACTGTGTTCCACCCACTCTATTCCATCCTTCTTGCTGGCCCATGGTTACCCAAGGTGTCCTTCTCCTTCTTGTTCTCTGCTGTTGTCTGCACACCCTCTACCAACCCCCTCCCTCCTGGGATGCCTACTCTCAGTTCCCTGCTTCAAAAACTCCTACTTGTTTTCAAGAAGCAGCTCAAATATTATCCTTCACCAGGCAGAGTAAGTTAGACCTTCCTCCCCCATGCCAACCTGCTCATGCTTCTGTTAGAGCTAATAACTTTTGGTTGTTGTTGGTGTTTCTAAGAAATATTAGGCATAGACATGCATAACTTGATAAAAAGAAAAGTTGTGAAGTAGTGTCTCTTGATCACCTTCAATCTATCATGACTTTGGCATTAAGCAGGACTCAAGTGCAAACTGGTTAAAGCAAAAATGGGTCATGTATTGTTAGTAAAAGTGAGAAATTCAGGGGAGAAGTGGTACCTTCAGGCATAGGTGGCTCTAGGTGCTCCAAATCTGTCTTTAGGACACTTTAACTGTCCATCTGTCCTCTGGGTGGACTTCATTCTTGGGTGGCCCCCAGTGTGAATGAACACTGGCAGACAGGGAGCATCTTTACCCTGAGATTTCAATCACAAGTCCCAGGGTTCCCATTGGGACAGCTTGGGTCATGTGCCCATTCCTGAACCAATCACTGTGGTCGAAGAATGGAGTAGTGGACTGGAGTCATGTGACGACCCTTGACTGCCCCCCTCTCCAAGTTGGGGAGGGTGGCACTATCAAACTGTGCGGTCTCAGTCAGGTGGAAGTGGTTCCCCTATAAAAACAAGAAGAAAGGGTAAAGGCATGCTGGGCAGGTACGAACAGTGTGTTCTGGTCTGGCTTGTGAAATTGTGGTTCCCAGGACCTGACTCAGAAGAGAAGGAAAATGAATTGATTTGGAGAGAAGCGTTCACTAACTCACTATACAAAGCTCTTAGCTTTGTCAAAACTCTGACCACCCAGCTTTAACCAGGGGTGGCTGAAGCAAATTTGACCTGATCTCTCTCTGCCTCCCCCAGAAGCCTGGAAGCTGCTGGAGGGCAGGGCAGTGTCTCCTTAAAATCCCTGCACAGTGATTTGCAGCCAGGCATCAGAATGCTGGGATGCATGTTAAAACGCGGGTTCGCGGGTCCCCTCTACAGCCACTGAATCAGAGCCGCCCAGGCTTGTACACAGGTGTCTGCACTGTTACTAACAACCCCAGTGGGGCTAAAGGTCCCCTTAGCTAGGAATCATTAATGCCTGGCACAGTGTGAGGCTCAGAATAGATGCTCAGCCAAACACTGGTTGATCAAATGAGTGAATAAATGCATCATGGTTTAAGGATGGCTTGTCTGGAGGTTGGCTTTTTTGTCAGAGGTCTATTCAGATTCTCTGTTTCTTCCTGAGCCAGTTCAGTAGTGCCTTGCTTCCGTAACAGTCTGCAAAGCACTGGACAGCCGCCGCCCCGCCCCCCCGCACAGGGAACCACCCAGCCCCAGGTTTCACGATGCCAAGTCTGAGAGGCCCGGCAGTAAAGCAGCCCCACCCCAACTTCTTTCATGCCATCCACTTGTTGGGGAGTCCAGGTCGGTGGTCCTGCAGAAAGGCCTGCTCTCTCCATTTGGCTTATTGTTCCTCATGGTGTCATTTAGCTTGTTCCCCTCTCCCCTGCTAGTAATTACTGAAAACTAGAAGTTAGGTATGAAAGTATGTGAGAAATTTGAAGTCCAGAAAAAATAACTTGCCAAAGGCCACCGAGCTAGTTGGTGGCCAACTGAAGCCTCTCATCCAGCGCTCCTAACCGCTGTTCTGTGGGCCCGCAGTGGGGTTTGGGGGGGAAGACCTTCCAGCCCTCTGGCTGGATGCTTATCTTAGGCCTGAGGAATGAGCTCTGTTTTAAAGCACAGTTCCCCCCCTCACCGCCGGCACAGGTCACTGTGCAGTTTGACAAGATGCTGACCACCAATGCTAAGCTGCGGAAGGAGATTGAGGACCTACGGTATGAGAAGGCTGCTTATGACAACGTCTACCAACAGCTCCATCGACGCCTGTCGTTGAAGAAGAAAACCATGAACGTGGCCATTGAACAGTCTGCGCAGGCCTACGGGCAGAGGTAGGCCATGGGAGGGGCCCCCTGCTGAGCATGTACCTTCCTACTCTGGGCCACCGCTGCCTCCTCTACTTATGTATTGAGGCACCTGAAATCATCGTCGTAACTCTGAGCACTGAACGTGTGCCAAGCATGATGCCAGATGCTTTGGGCAGTAGTTCAACCCTTAAAAGTGTTGTAGGAATTATATTCCCATTTTACAGACCAGGAAGTAAAGGCTTAGAGATGCCAAAATACTTGAGACCCAGGTAAACGGAGGATATGGTGGAGCTGAGATTCACATCTTCTTGCTGCCCTGTCTCTTCCAGGTGCCCCGGCCTCTAGTCTGGGAGCCTCTCTCAGTCTGGGCTGTCTCCTGGTTTCACGCTCACAGGGGCAAAGACGTGCAGTTTAGCTGTGAGAGCACATTTCAGAGTCAGCGAAATCTGGGTTTAAATCCTGGCTCCAACACGCCAGCATTATTGTAGGACCTCTTTGGGCGGTAGTGAGGATTAAATGATATTTGTGCATCAAGGGGTGGCTGTGACACAGTAATGGACAAGTGGTGGGGATGGTGTTGGTGGCGAAGGTGATGGGGATGTGTGCGCTGGTGACGACGCTGCTGATGAGGGTGGTGGTGGTGATAGAAAGATAATTTCCTGGAGGTGGTCTAGAGCTGGTGGCTCCTGTCATTCAGGTAAAGAAGGTTGTTCTTGCACCCCCTGATGAAAAGAAGTGATAATCATTGGCGGGAAGTCCCTCTGGGCTGGTAGGGAGATGGGGGCCGACGGGAAGGTCCTCCGGGCACTCAGGCCCTGTGCCCCCTTCGCCCAGACTGGAAGCCATGGCTCGAATGGCAGCCATGAAGGAGCGCCAGCAGAAGGACATCTCTCAGTACAACCTGGAGATCCGAGAGCTGGAGCGCATCTACGCCCACGAGACCAAGCTCAAATCCTTCCTGCTCATCAAGCTGAATGATCGCATGGAGTTCGAGGAGCAGGCCAAAAAGGAAGAAGGTACACCCTCCTGAGAGTAGAGGGGACCAAATCCTCAACCATGCCGAGGAGCTTTGACTTCATCCCAAGGACAGTGGAAAGCCACAGCATGTAAAAGGGTCATGTGGCAGATGTGCTTAGAAAGGTCTAGAAAGAGCCTTCTACTTGCCCCATGGGAGCCATATCAGAAAGGGAAGGCTGAGTTCAGGATAGTTGGCTATTGCAGGTGTCCAGGCTGGAGAGAACTAGGTTTGGAGAACTTTCTTGGTTCTAACTCCATGAATTTGTCAAGTTCTGAGCCAGCTTCAGGCCCTTTGTCCCCAGGGCTTCCTTGAATTTCATCCTGCTCAAATGTCACCTCCTTTGAGAGGACTTCCCTGCGCATCCAGCTGACCCAGCACAGCACCTCCACTGGGTCTCCTCCATTGCTCAGGCCACGATGGATTTCTTTTTCTGTTTACTTGACTGTCTCTTTGTCTTTTTTCTTTTTGTTTGATTTCCTCTACCAAAGCTTTGTGGGGCAAAGATTTTGTGTCCATAGACCCCAGCTCAGTGTCTGGCACATAGTAGGCGTTCAGTTAGTTATTTGTGAAACAACTAAGGAGTGAAGCTCCTGCCCCATCTCCTGGGAAAGTCTAGCCTCTCCCCAAGGCACAACTATAATAACATACAGCCCACCCCTGCTGGGCACCGCACGGAGCACCTTCCTTTCCAGACTCACTGTTGCTGGTTGTTCCTTTCCAGCTCTCAAGGTGAAGAAGTCCAGGAAGAAGAGCAAGGGTGAGTGCTTTGAGAGCTATGAGGTGGCCCACCTCCGGCTGCTGAAGCTGACTGAGAATGGTGACCTAAATGAGTTCATGAAGGAATTTCTGGCCAAGGAGGAGAAGAACTTTGCCAGGTTCACGTACGTCACAGAGCTTAACAACGACATGGAGATGATGCACAAGAAGATCGAGAAAATCCAGGTCAGGGCAGCTCCTCTTTCCTGGCCTGAGGCCCGCCTGCTCCAGCAGCCCCTTCCCTAGAGGGGCTCCTCAGAGCGCTGTCCCCCGCAGATGCTCTGCAGCAGAAGCGCCTCGAGGTCCAATCGGTTTGGGAAGCACTATGTTTCCTGTGCTCCCCTTACATTTTGACCTTTCCGAAGTTGCTATTTGTCTTTCAATTGATATACACACTTAATGTGGTCATGTCCCCTCATTTCAAGTGACATTTATAATCCAGTGTTGAGTAAACTCTAGCCATGGCCAAATATGGCCCCTGGCCTGTTTTTGTAGAGCCCATGAACTAGTAATGGTTTTTACATTTTTAAAGGGGTATAAGAAAAAATAAATAAAAGAGGAATATGTAAGACAGACCATATGTGACCTGTACAACCTAAAATATCTACTATCTGGCCCTTTGCCTTAAAAGCTTGCTGATCTCTGTTGATCAACAGCTTCCAGAATTGAGAAGAGACAGTCAATGAATTCATCTTGGAGAGACTTGATGTGCACGGACGTAGTAAATGCTCTGATAAGTCCTGTGGTAAAAACCTGTTGGCCTTGGTTGAGCCTGTAATTTCCCAAGTTCAGTTGGCTCCCCGGGCTCCCTACTCCCCAGAGCACCCCAAAACAGCCTTTGGGACGTCTGCAAAGCACAGAGTCTAAACTCAGGGTGACACTCCAGGCTCCTCAAAATTTGGCTTCAACCTGCCCCTGCAGGCTCAGCTCCCATTGTGGCCCCAAGCACCCCCTGCAGTGGTCAGCCCCATGCATTCCCCTCCTCTGAGGCTTTCCTTGCGCTCTTTCCTCCTTCCTCCTGCCTTTCTTCTGGTGACATGTCACTCATTAGTCCTCTCCCTGCACAAGTGTCACCTCCTCTGGGGAGTGATTGTTCCTCTGAGGTCCCAGTGCTCTGTTTATGTGACAAGTGGAGCCACTTCCTTTTGTAATGTGTTTCCTGAGTGTTGGGGTTGTATGCTGGCTACGTGCACACAGATAGTAACTAGAATATATAGGTGGAACTTTTAGTTTATTGGTGATGAATTAATTATATAATGAGGATGAGGAAGAATATAGCTTGAGAGCAAACTTGTGACTTGGATATTATTAGTGTGGTAAGTAATAATAGTAAACAAATAATGGGCAACATACTGATATAAACAAGGTTTTGTTGACTTAAGGACCATTACTAGGCAACAACAGATTAATAATAGTACAGGTGGCATGCAAAAATGGGAGAGGTGGAGGTGGCTGTGTCAGGTAGAGCTGCCACAGGAAACAGATGGCATGTCCAAAATGGGCAAATTGCAGTAAGTTTTTTAAGAGGGACTATTTACAAAGGTCTAAGGGAATTAAAAAGGGAGAATGCAGACCAGCAAGAAGAGAGGCTCCAGACCTGGGGAGGGGATGCTTTCTGGAATCAGGAGAGAGGTGTGTGGAGAAAATTGTCTGTGTGTCCTTTCCAGAGAGATGTGGCCCAGCTGGTGACCTGCCAAGGAGTAGGCAAGCATCCCCCCAACCTCACTCTCCTCCTGCCCTTGAATCCGTGGCTGGTGTGTCTCATTGGCTGGGCCCAACCCAAGCGGAGGGCAAGGAAGCCCCTGGCCTGGGGCAGAGGGTGGGGTGGGGAAGGGAGGTGGGTAGATCCTGGGACAGATGGAGAAGGTGCAGCTCACAGTGTATTCCCCCTGCATCCCTGATGCCCAGGAAGGCCCTGCACACTGTGGAAGGGACCAGGAAATGGTTCCCGAACATTAATTGACCTTGATATTCCCATTCACCTTGAGGGTACTCCCCTTTCCTCCATTTGCTACATAGACTGCCTCTGACGTTGGGATGAACGTGGGATGAAGGACTGGCCAAGTTCTTGCCCTTTCTGGGCCTCAGCCTCTTCATCTGTAGCGTGACTACTTGGACTAGAGCCATACTTCCCAAACTTATAAAAAAATCTGTAGAACGTTTTTGTTTAAACACTGGTTATGAGGAAACACGTGTATATAAAACACATAAAATGGAGCAGACCCAGATGAAGGGGCAGAGGGGAGAGGTGTCTGAGGCCCTACCTTTCTGCCTTCTTGTGGCGCCTCTGCTCAAACGAGGGTTCCGGTAAAAAAAAAAAATTGAAAATAATTGGGATTCTAACCTCTGACTTCACCCCCACCTGCTGGTCTGTGATTAGGGGCCCTAAACTGGACATATGCAGCCTTCATTCTTTTGCTTGTTCTCCTGTACCCTCAAAATTTTAAATATATTTGTTGCCAGTATTGAAAAATCAAGATATTTCACATGAAACTCTGGGTTTCTGATTTCTCTTGGAAAATCAGATCTGAGGACTCTGGCTCAGTTTTTCTGCCCCATAACTCTCCCCACGCCCGCCTCATTGATGCACAATAGCTGGGTTTGAGTTTAGGGCTCTCCTTTACGTGCTTCGCCACTTCCCTCTAGTGGCCATATTTAGTATTGCAGGGACAGCCTTTGCAAACAGCTGAAGGAATGATGGAAGGATGGTTTGGGAGTTGGCAGGACCCCAAATTCTCATTTTCCAGGAAGGAGCACCTTACTAGTTCCAGTGGAGTCACAGGGTCAAGCCATAGAGAGGGATTTGAGGACTCCCATTGGAAATTGACTTGGCCAGGAAATGGTTCCCGAACAGAAGGGACCTAGATCACCATAGGGGTATTTCCTCCCTTAGCTACATAGCCTGTCTCTGGCATTAGGATGGATGTAAGCTTTCCTCCCCAACAGTTCATCCTAGATACCTCCCAACACCTTCTATGTTCTTTTTAATGGCTCTGGGGATCCTGGATGCTCTGTAGTAGAATCATAAGATGTTCTTAAACATGCATTTTCCCCAGGCCCTATCCCATACCTACAAACCTAGCTTCTCTGAGAAGGGGCCAGGACTCTGCATTTAACCATATTTTTATTTGAGCCCCTTCCCCCTCATGATATGAATGTACCATCATTGGCTTATCCGACCCCCTATCAGTAGACATTTAGGATGCCCCTAATGGGGCCCATTATAAATAATAACACGGTGGACAGCCTTGAGCGACCACCTTTGCCCACTTGTCCTACTATTTCCATGGGACAGATGACTAGGCATGGACTTGACCAGTCAAAGGATGCACATCTTTTATACCGGACATGTTGGTCCAGCCCAGTGATTCTCAAATCTGGCCTCTGAACCAGCGGCGGCAGCAGCAGCAGCAGCATCTCCTGAGAACTTTGTAGAAATGCACAATCTCGAGCCCCCCAGACCTGCTGGATCAGAGCCTCTGGGAGAGGGGCCTAGCCCTCTGTGTTTTCCCAGGCTTCCAAGTGATTCCGAGTCATGCCAGAGCTCGAGAACCCTGCTCTGGAGCCACCTGCCTGTGATAGTAGCCACGAGACATAGGTGGTGATTTAACTTAAATTAAATTTAAAAATTAGTTCCCTAGTGGCACTAGCTGCATTTCAAGTGCTCAGTGCCCAGGTGTGGCTAGTGCTTTAGGACTGGGTGGTGCAGGCAGCGCTGCTACCATCGCAGGAAATCCTATTGACCGTACTGCTCTAGACGTCCAGAAAAAATGAGACACCCACCCTCCCATGCCCTCACTGTTCTCTTAACTGGGAAACATCCAGGGACATAATAGGGGCTCCAGGGTTCTGGGCTTCTTGGATTGGATAATTTAAATCTTCAACTCCTTGAGGCACAGGCTCCTTTTCAGGTGTTGGGAGGAGGGAAGCACCCACTTTTCCTCACTGTCTGGTTTTCTCCCGAGCAGAATGAGATCCTCTTCTTGCAATCCCAGCAGAAAGCGTCCCAGGATGAGAACAGCTCTGTCCTGAGACAGCTGGAGGTAAGACCAGGACGGGGAGGGATGCAGGATTTTCCATTGTCTGCCTGTCTGTCTGTCAGGCAGCCTGTCAGTTGGAGTTACGGGGTGCCCTGTGACTATCTGTTGGCCTGAGTCGTGACTTGACATGTTTAGACCCTTTGTCACAGGCAGCCTTTGCCGCAGGTACTGCTGCAGAATTTTGTCCCAAGGGCCTCTTTGTCCATTTTAAAGACTGCAAAGAGCTCAGCCCTGGGTCATGCCCCTGTAAACTCATCCCAGGCTGGCAAATTCCAGGCAGATCTTGGCCTTGGGCTTTTCTCCCTTCTCCCCCTTGTCCTGGCCGTGGCCTGTTCTCAGTCAGTAATCGTCATTGCAGGCATTTCTTGAGCAGCCACTGCATAGTGCTACTAGGCTAAGTGCTTTGATTGCACTATCTCTTTTAATCCTCAGAGCAGCCCTAGGAGGTACATGCTACGATCTCTCCATTTTACAGTGAGGAGACTGAGGTTCAGAGAGGCAAAGTTGCTTGACCAACACCGTGAAGCTGGGATACTGTATGAGCTTTGCATTGCATTCAACTGCTAATAACAGAGACTCAAAATCACAGTGGCCTAGTCAAGATAGAAGTTTAGCCTTGGCTTGTGTGGCTCTGTGGATTGAGCACTGGCCTGCAAATTGAAAGGTCACTGGTTTGATTCCTGGTCCAGGCACATGCCTGGGTTGTGGACCAGGTCCCCAGTTGGGGGTACAAGAGCAACTGGTCCATGTATCTCTTGCACGTTGATGTTTCTCTCCCTGTCTCCCTCTTTTCCCCTCTCTCTAAAAGTAAATAAACAAAATCTTAAAAGAAGTTTATTTACTTTGTTAAGAAATAAGTCTAAAGATGGCACTTCAGGGCTGGTCATGACATCATGAGTGACCCAGGCTCCCCTTTTCTGTTTTGCCGTCCTTAGTGTGTGGCTTACATTCCCAGGGATGCCTCATAGTTGTAGTATGGCTGCTGATGGTCCAGCCATAACATACACATTCCAGACAGGAAGAAAGTCAGGGAGGGAAAAATAAAAAAGACCTTGTTGGTGAGTCAGCCAGCTTAAAGGTTCTTCCCCTGAAATCCCAGCCAGTGACTTCTGTGTTTACGCCGCACTGGCTATCCCTACTACCAAGGAAAGTTGGAATCATAACTTCTAGCTGGGCACGTTGCCACCCTAAATACAATCAGGGTTTTGTTATCCAGGTATAAAGGAGAATGGATAGCCAACACCCGCCAAAGATGTGAATTCAGAGAGTTGACTGCAAAGCCCTGTTTTAATTTAATAGTTCCTGGCCCAGGAACTGTGTTCCTAGGTCCGTTCCCTTCCCTTCTCTGGGATTTCTTTCTGTTGTTGGCATGCACCTGATAGACAGCCTTGGCGGTGCCATTCTCTGGTGGGCCACTGGAGGGCAGCAAAGCACATGCCGCCCATTGAGCTGCTGCCTCTCAGAGAGGCCTCCCCCAGGAGTCCAGGTGTGAGGAATTAAGATTTCCAGGCAGGGCCCAAGCTCAAGGAGACACTCCCTAAACTGGGCACAGGCCTGCGGCCCCACGTCCTCAGCTTACGGTTGCTCAGTGTCCATGTGCTTCCCTGGGGCTGGGGCTAGTGCTGCTCTGCATCTCGGGACTTTATTTAAAGGAGGCTGCGTCGGGAAGGCTGACCAGGCAACCCCAAGCATCTCTCCCACTACCAGCTCTTCCTTCCTTTGGATTTGGTGGAACTCCTGGAGACCTTTTCAAAGGCAAATACTCTATGCAGAAGAATCTGTCTTAATAACCAAAGGCTCACAGGATGCTTTCTTAGCTCCTGCTAAAGATCACTTCCATCTGCTCTTTTCTGGGGCCCTTTCCACAGACCTTCCATTTCATCATCTGCTGCCCCTCTGGGAGAAGTGGTGGGGCCAGTTTCTAAATGGGAGGGTTTTGCACAGGAGCTAAGCAGCCAGGCCCTGGGAACAAATGCTTGGGTATGACTCTCAGAACAGTCACTTCCTAGCTGTGTGACTTGGAGAAAGTAATTCAACCTCTCTGAGCCTCAGTTTTCTCACCTGTAAAATGGGGATAATAATTGTTCTCATTTCACAGGATTGTTCCTTTCGCTTTGTCCAAGTAAAGAGTTGAGCTGAAGGTCAGGTAGCTAGACAACTTGATACAGGGAAGCTAAAAACAAGTTCACTTTTTTTTCTTTGACCTCAAAATTCCTCATCTGAAAACTGGGGCAGTTGTGAGGATGACATGAGATGATGCATATAAAATGCCTGGAACATCTTAGGTGTTGGACCCATGTTATCATCATCACATCAGGCTTTTTTTTTTTTTTTAATTTTAATCATATGAACTTCTGATGCACCTTTAGAATGAGAAGGCAGCTCTTGCTTTCCTATGAGGAAAATGCATCTGGGACAGGAAGCTACCTGGTGTAGTGGTTGAGAGACAATTGAATCCTGGCTGTTTGCCTCAGAGCCTCAGTTTCTTCACCTGGAAAATGGGTGTGTGGACTGGCCTGACCCCTTGGAATCATGATCTGAGACAGAGCCCTGGGGAACAGGGTCAGTCCTTGCAGGGCCCGGCTCACCTTAGCAAGGGGAGGGCTCGAGAGGAGCCGCAGGAGGCATCGGGGCTCTCACCCTAGAACAGCGACCCTCAGCCAGGCGGCGAGTCAGAGCACCACGGGGGCTTTACCGTCCCCGTTGCCCAGGCTGCAGCCGAGACCAGCGGCTCCGAATCTCCGATTCTGAGGTCTGGGCAGCAACCATTTTAAAGCTCCTGGGGGATATTATTAACTTGAAGCCGAGATTGCAATCCAGTGGACTCACAGAGGTTCTTAAACCTCATTGTGTGTTAGAACCAGCTCGGCGGCGGGGCGGGGGGGGGGGGCGGTCATTAAAACACAGGTTGCTGGGCCCAGCCCTAGAGCCTTTGGTTCATTCTGCCTGGGCTGCAGCCCATAACTTGCATTTCTAACACGTTCCCCATTCAAGCTGGCGCTGCTGGTCCTGGGACACCACATTGAGAACCCCTGGGCCAGAGCAATGTGTTTTAAGCTGAGAGTGCTGAAGTCGGTTTGTTGGATTGCAATTGGCATTTAAAAATAACAAGAGACTGGAACAGAACAGAATAGGAAATATTAGAACATATAACAGGAATATTGACTTGTGAAACTTTAAATTCATTTGATTAGATAATATATAAACACATACATGTATGTATGTAGGTAGGTAGGTATTAGGCTGTAAATGTAATATGTATTTTTTCCTGTGGGCCACAATTTTTAAAAAATGAGTCACCAGCTTTTAATTAAAAAAATGAATCCAGTACACATGTAAACATACATACATATATGTAAGTAAGAAAAACCTACCTTAAACAATACTTACCCTTATTACCTGCAGTGCATACTAGTATTTTTTTCTTCCTTTATCTTCTGTTCTATTTAATTCCTTTTTTAAAAATGCTGATTGAGGCTCATTAAATTGATTTCCCGCCCCCTTTGAGGTTTGAAAACCCGCAGTTTGGAGACCCCAGCCCTGGAGGGTCCTGAACCCTCATCCCCACCGAAGGGGCGGGCTGACCCCAGGGTGGCAGCCTGGCTGACCAGGGGTGGGAATTGGGGTCTGCCACCAGGAGAAACTGAAGAAGACCAGCGAGGAGGCGGATATGTACGAGAACAGCTACAAGGAGGTCAGCAAGACCTTGGAGACCCTCAAGAGCTCAGTGGAGAATCTTTTTAAGAAGATAAATTGTGATGCCACCAAGATCCTGGTGCAGTTAGGGGAGACAGGGGAAATCACCAATACCAACCTGTCTCAGTACTTGGGTGAGTCCAGCTGGGGCCTCTTGAATTCTTAGGAACCCTTTCCAGAGCTTTCAGTACCCAGGCACAAGGACTTGTTCTTTTGGTGGTAGTGAGTCTGGTGGTGAAGCATGTGGGCAGTGATGCCAGACTGCTTGGGTTCAAATCCTGGTTCTGCACTTACAAGCTGTGTGACTTTGGGCGACTTTCGCAACCTCTCTGTGCTTTAGTTTTTTCCATTAAAAAAAAAAAAAGAAAGAAAAGATATAAGAGGTAAACCCAATACCTACCTTGTAAGGGTTTTGGGAGGACCAAATAAATTAATAGTTCTTAGAGAAAAACTATATGATCATTACAACAAAAGTATTTGACAGAATTCAACATTCACTCACAATAAAAACACCTACCAGTAAAACCTCATACTTAATGGTAAAAAACTAAATATTTTTGTTCTAAGATCAGAAATAAGGCAAGGATGTCTGCTCTCTTATCACTCCAATTAGATGTTGTCTTGGTTGTCCTAACCAATGCAACAAGACAAGAAAAAGAAATGAAAAGCTTACAGATTGGACAGGAGGAAGTACAAGCTCTCAGAGCAGTGCCTGGCATGTAGCCAACGGCTATTAACTAGAACACACATTTCTAGTCATAGGCCTTGAGCTCAGCACAGAGAGGGAGGGATGAGCCTACACAGATCATGACGATTTGGGATGAATGGCTTCCCCCGCTCTTAAAATAAAACCTAAGGTTCTTAATAATACAATTGGTGTGTGGGAGTTTCCTAAGATGGACCCCTCCTGCCAGGTTCGGTGAGTGCAAGCAGGACCCGCAGACTTAGCATATTGTCGTACTCATGGCTATGATTTATTACAGTAGAAGGATTCAAAGCAAAGTCAGCAAAAGGAAAGGCGCCTGGGGTGAGCTCTGGAAGAAACAAGGAACAAGCCTCCAAGGGTCCTTTCCCAGGAGGGTCACACAGGACACAGGCCTCCAGCAATGTCTTGTGACAAAACATGTGAAATGTTGTCAACCAGGAAAGCTCATTAGCGACTAGTACACACCCAAATCCAGACCCCCAGGAAGGGAAGCAGGCATTTAGCATAAAGCACCACATCTTTTTTGTGCACATAATTTAGGCAGAGTGAGCCATTATTGGCTAATGGTGACAGGTACCTTCCTGACATCCAAGTTCCCCCATGCCAGTTAAGGGCCTCTGAAAGGAGAGTGGCCAGGACACCTGTGTTAACTCTTCCCTGCCCACAGCCTATCTGGTTCTTCAGAACTTGGACCCAACTTACATTTCTCATCTCTTGTCCTGCTCTCCCTCCTTGCTCACCACCTCCAGTCACACCGTTCTCCTCTCTATACTTCCAGCCCTTTCCCCAGCTCACTCCTGCCTCTGGGCCTTTGCACAGGCTGTTCCTGGAATAGCTGTCTTGGGCTCGGTTCCTCCTCACCCTCAGATCTCAGCTCAAATGTCCTCTCTCCAGCAAGGGCTCCTCCCACGGCCCCACCTGAAGCTGGTTTCCCCCTGCCCTGCACTGTGATTTCCTCTCGTGGCAGGCCTATTAGTGAACATTCACCCAGTTTGTCTCTAGGTGGTTTGCACTGTCTGAATCTATGAGGTTCTTGAGATCTGACACCCAGTTCCAGATGCAAATTTTTGATCCCTGATTTACAGTGAGAACAACAGCAATACAGGTACTGTGAGGTTTATTTTTCTTAAATTAGCCAAATCCAGTCATTAACTGAATTCAGATAATGAGCATCTGGGTAGTGAGGGGTACATGTATTTATTTGTTGAACTTGTCCTTTTCTCCATTTCCCCATAAACACTGAAGCCTATGATCTTTATCAGGGCAGGGGCTGCCGGTTTGCTATTGGATTTTTTTCTCCCATGCATCCCCAGTCTCTAGCACAGTGCCTGGCATGATAAGCATCCAATAATTTATCTGTGGAATGAATGAATGAATGAATGAATGAAAGGAAGACAGACAGACAGACTCTGGGGACTGCATGCGACTGTGTAACACAGCGAGGAGCACAGTTCCCCCAGTCTAGGCAGGTCGGGGAAACATCCCTGCAGGCGGCACGGCCCGACCTAAGTCTTCAAACATCAGGAGGGATTGCCAGGGGAGGGCGTAGGTAAAGGCATTTTAGGCAGAAGGAGCAGTATGGGCGCCTGAGATAGAGTGAGCACTGGGGAAAAATCAGTAGTTTAAAGCAGGGCAGCCCACAGCTTCCAATTTTTACTGAAAACCCAGTGTTTCTCAACTTTCTAAGGAGCCTTTTTAGACATTTTTTTCTAATTGCCCCATCCTTATAAAATTTAATACTGTTGATACACGGCATAGCTGTTTATACCCTGTATGTATATCTGTGCTTTATTCCTTACAGAGTCAGTGTATTTTTTGCCTCTCAAGAACCAAATTTTATCCTTTTGGGGTGGTACTGCCCCCTCAGGAAGGCATGGTGTAACCCCAGAGAAAGCCGGTGTCCTTAGAGGAGCTCATGACCCACCCCCCTTCCTGCTCCTCCCCTTCCTCTGCAGCGGGAAGGGGGTGCCACCCCGAGACCGAGACTGCTCGCAAGATCTTGGCAGTAATCTCTCTCACCTTGGTGTTTCCCAGCCATCATTGAAAAGAAGACCAACGACCTGCTGCTGTTAGAGTCCTACAAGCGGATCCTGGACAAGGAAGGGGTGGAGGCGGAGCAACCGGCACCCTTCATCAACCCTTTCTGGGGCGGCACTGCCCTCCTGAAGAATGTGGAACCCATCAAGGTCAACCCCCCAGCGCTTGGGGCCGACCCCTTCAGCGACAGGTTGGACGAAGGTGAGCTCCCTTTCTCCCCAGACCCTTCCCAGTCGCCGGGCTAAGGGTTCCCAGGAAGCCTTTGCTCACGAGGGTCTGTAGTGTTCAGCCTCAGTCTCCCCCTTTTTATGAGCCCTGTGGGCTCACCACTTTCACTGGGTACCATCTTGGCTGTGGCCATGTGACATGGTTCTCTAGGGATGCTTCTCCCTATGGCCCTTTGGCCTAGCCACAGATCCTAATGTTTTGTTATCCTGGATATTTTAAAAAATTCACAGCTACTTTTTTGACCATGTAAAACGAACCTTAAAATGTCCCAAGATTTCCAAATTGGCAAGGTACGGGCTCACAAGATTCCCGGACCTCATCTCTCACCCTTACTCTCTGCTCTTGAGTCTCACTCCGCCCATGACCTCCCTGGGCCCTGTCCCATTCGTGGTCCCCAGCCCCATGGCTGGAGCAGCTGCGATGGGGTTCACGCCAGAAGCCTTCGCTGTGGCCCTTCCGGCACCAGCCTGTTGACCTTCCTTTTGGAGGCAGAAACTCATGACACTCCCCCTCTTGGGGGGACCCAGCCCTGGTCTCTGAAGCTGGGGATAAAATCGGTGTCCCCCGGTTGCTGGAGGGCAGCCTGGCAGCACGCGTGAGGAGCCTGAGAGATGGATCACCCATTAAGCCTGCAATCCCACCTGCAGGAATTGGTCCCTCAGGAAAACCGTCTTCAGGGGTCTGAGGTGAAGGTAGGAGGACGTTCCAAACTGGAAATGAGTGAAATGCCCATCCATTAGAGATGGGTTAATAAGTTACGGTTCACGCGTACGTACAGTGTAATACTAGGCAGCCACTAAGCAGAATGCAACGGTATATAACATGATGTATATGATCTGTATATTCAGTGGTGCTCAACCAAGCATGACTTCCTCCTCAGGGGTGTGCTTGGCCAGGGATGCTGCTGCAGCCCTGCAGCGCACAGGGATGTGCGACGGGGGAGAGAGGTCTGTAAGGTAACAGAGAGAGAGAGAAGGACGAGGAGGGGGAAGAGGTGGAGGAAGAGCAGGAGGAGGAGGGGGGAGGGAGAAGGGGGTATATCTTGATTATGCAAATGAGAACAAAGAAGGCGTATAGGCTGACTTACAGTGGATATTTCCGGGCAGTAGTTTGCAGAGAACTTTACATTTCTAGGTTAAACAATTCTGTGTTGTTTGCATTTTCCTTGTACAATGACCTTGTGTCACATTAGTAATAGACTTTGAAAAAGCCGCCCCTATCCTCTGAGCAGCACTTCAAGTGTCAGGGATGGGGAGAGGACCGCCAACACGCATGTGTGCGTGGGCACATGCCTCCTCTTTGGTTCAGTCCAGGCTCCTGAAACTTCACAGGAGTGAAGGCTGGATCAGGTGTCCATGTCCTTAAGGCAGCTTCCTGTGGCCCTTTGAGTTCCTAAAGGAGGAGGTTGGTGGGTCCTGGACCCCAGGGTCACGAACTTAGAGATGATGTCTTCTCCACTCTTCACGGGGATGTTGATAAGCATTGGGCTCTCTTAGCTTAACAGCTGCTCTGGCTCTCATGTGTGAATTAGAAGACGCAGCCCTTTTGGGAACATTAATTAGAAAAAGGTGCCCCATCAGGGTAGCCCTGGTTTGGCAATCAAGCGGGGGCTGGATCTCGGCCCATTCACTCATCTGTCCCCACCCGGTTCGCTGTGCAGTCTACATCCTGAGCAACTGCACATGGTGGCCAGTCTCCTTGAGCTTAAACCTAACTCACCTGGGAGAAGAAACAGCTGTTGTCTGGGCGCCCTGAGCCTGCCCCTGTCCTCCCTGAGCCTTGAGAAGGGCCCCACTCCAACCCCCAGCACTGTGGAGGAGCCCAGCCGGGCTCGGACATCCTTGCCCTGGGCGCCCGTGGATGCAGCCAGGAGGCCCGGGCCCTGAGGAGGAAGTGGGCTGCATTGGGTTTCTCCTTCTTGGCGCAGTGGACCAGCCCCTGGACCACAGCAGCCTTCAGCAGATGGTGCTCAGCAACTACACCATGAAAGAGTTGCGAAACAGGGACTCACAGCTGGACAGCGTCCCTGAAAAGGGGGACGACCTGAGGCTCAAGAAGAAGTTAATGGTCTGATGTGGAGGGGGCCACATCTGTGCCAATGCCGGAGAGAATAAATGTTTTGTTCTGTAACCCCCCAGTGCCTCTTCCCACTTACTGCCAGGAGGCCAGGGTGCTGGGAACCCCCACCCCTGCTCTGAAAAGGGCGGAGGAGCAGCAGGGGTTGCATTCCAAAGCCTGCGCAGGATGCAAGAGTTGTGTGAGGTCACCATGGCCCCTGGGAACCTGTGCTGAGAGTGCCCAGCACAGGTCCCCCCTCAACACACTCCCTTAGATGAAGCAGGGACGAGTGGAGCCTAGGGGTCAGGGGAAGCCAAAACATTGGCCTTCATGCCCTAGAATCACGCGGATACAGCAGCCACTCACAGGCAGGAGCTGGGAGCCATGTAACCTTTGTGTCTGAATCTCCATGTGTGTCTGTGTGTCTCGTGGATGAACATGTCACTGCAGAGCTGTGCCCAGGACGCCGTGCCCTGAAACACATGCTGCACTTGAATGGCCAGAGTTGGGGCGCCCCCGAGGTCTCCTGGGACCTGGCTGGGCTCCTGCAGGAAGGAGCCCTTGGTAGCAGGCTCTGGGCATGGGGGAGGTGGGTCACTGCAGCGTGTGGAATATGGTGGATAAGCACAGGGTGGGGGGCCCCGGGTCCCTGCCTGCCCAGCTCTCTGTTGGCTTTGACGGGGCCCAGGTCCCAGGAGCCCAGGCGAGGTCGTGATTCGCGCGGGGGAGCTGACCCTGGGCTCCTCCTGCAGGGCCTCTGCTGTTGTTCTCGAGCCTGGGGGACTCGCCCCAGTTCTGGCTCCCCCAGCCCCTGGCCCCCGTCATGCCTTCTGGGTGACCCCAGCTGCCACTTCCACCCCCAGCTTCAGCTCTTAGCTCGCACCCCATCATTCACTTTGGCTGTGTCCTGAGATTTTCGGATTGTCTTGAAAACGTATGACTGTCTTGGTGTTCACTTTCCTTCCTCCTGAAAGGCACCTGGATTTGCCTTTGGGGCAGGGGGTGGGGGGGACAGCCATGGGCTGGGGGAAAGGGCTGATTTTAGCCCCAGGACGAGGGTTCATCGTGTGACCCAGGTCTGCCGGTTAAGCACTACCCCTGTTTGAGGTTGGCTAGGTGCTCCATCGGCCCTCTTCTTGGAACGACGGGGAGCTGGGAGAAAGAGATGTGCCCTCTTTCTAGGAAGGTCGCTGAGAGGAGAGACGGGAGCCATGTGCTGCCGCTGAGAGCCGAGCAGTGGCGAGGCCGCCTCGAGGACCGGCGGCCCGTCTGAGCCCCTGGACGCAGGGCTGCCTGCGGCCCTTGGGCTTCTTAGTTATGTGAACCTGTTTGTTTCCCAAATGGGGGTATTTACAGCCCAGATAAATCCAAATGCTTTAACAGTGACTTTGATCACTCAAAATCAAGAGTGAATTCATGCCCAGGCCTAGTTCCTGGGCCTCAGACAGGGTCGGAAATCAGTACCCCTCCCCTAATTTGCCAGGAGAGAAGTACAGACAAGTTCTACTTTATCTTACAATGAACGGATGTAATTTTTTTGGGATGCCAAATATGCCATATTCTGATTGTGCATGGGAGGCCGCTTCCTTTTAAACCTGTGCACCAGGGGCCTGTGGAGTGCACCTGGGAGGGGCACCCCGGTGGTGTCCTGGAGGACAGGCCGCCAGGAAGCTGGGTCCTGAAGATGCGGGGGCTCTTTGGAAGGAAGGGCTGTGCTCCGCTCGTGACCATCCCATCAAACATGGCCTTGGAGAGCAGTAGTCCTGAGTGGCTGCAGAGATTTGTCTTAAGAGTCACTAAGACTCAGTAATAATGACAGCAGGGCCACCATCAGCTGTACACTGCCTTTGTGGGAACTAGCAAAAGGCCAACCTTCTCCCAGGCACTTCTGTCAGAGAGAGACTGGACAGACACACGGCCTCCTGTTTATTTGAAGACGGCCCCTGCCCAGATTTCCACCCGCAGAACACGTGGTCACGGGGCACTGAGGAGCCGGGGATGGAGGTGTCTACCTGAGGCAGCCACACAGCTCACAGGCCAGGGGCAGGCATGGCGGCCTTTCTGGGCCAAGGGTGAGGGGAGCAGGGACCACCCTCTCCACAAGGACAGGCCCAGGCCCAGCGGTGAGTGCCTCCCTTCAGTCCTTTTCTTCTCCGTGGGTGATGATGTGCACCAGGTTCTTATAGTCCAAGTTGCCAGTCACATCAGGCGGGAAGGCGGCAAACATCTGGTCGATCTGAAATGAACCAGCAAGAGGTGCAGAGAGTGATGGGAGGGGAAGTGGAGAATGATGGGATGGGGGTGTGGGGGTTGCGTCAGGGAGGTGAAGGGTGGTAGACGTGGAGATGCGCTACCTGATCCCCCCCTCCTAAGGAAGTCCTTGTCACCCAGCTGCAGCAGAAAGCAGCAGGGCCAAGGTCACGCCCTCCCTGGGGAAGCCCAGGGCAGTGTGGGGCTCAGCTTGGGACTCCTCCAAACAGCTGTTCTACCCCAGGGAGTGATGGCCAGGACATTCTTTGGGCCTGAATCTCAGCTCAGCATCGCCCCAGAGCCCTCCTGCTTCCTTGTCCTTCCCAGAGGCTGACTGACCCCAAGGGCCACCTGGCAGGAGAACCCAAGCTGTGATGGATAAAATAGGTTGTGAGGGAGTAAGGTGGGCCTGGTGGGGACCGTGGCTAAATGAGGACACACAGGCCGCTTACACAAGTGGCAATGGCTGAGGGCCAGCTGAATGTGGCCACGTGGGCAAGGAGGACAGACTCTGAGGGAATCTGATTCTAGAAATCTAGATTTTTTTAAAAAACATGTGATTTCCACATTTAAAAAATGACTGGTTACTTTTTAAAAAAAGCATTCAGACTATTAATAGCTAACACGTGTAATATTGCCCTTATCACAGGTCAGCACGTTACACATATTAACTTGTTTAACCCTCACAGTGTACAACGAGGTGGGTTCTGTTACTGTCTTTACTTTACAGATGAGGAAACTGAGGCCCAGTGAGGCTAACGAGCTGGTCCAACGTCCAAAGCTGGTGGGAGGTGAAGGCAGGTTCTTTCAACTGCTTAAGCTTTGGAGGGAAATCTAAATAAAATTTTTAGTGAAATATGGAACTTGAAGGAATCAGGCCTGAGAAGGGACCATTTGAAACAGACTCCTTACTTAGGTACATTAATAATGACAGGACTGTTGCTTGTTCATCTAGGACTTTGGGTGAGTTATCAAGTATCCCTTCTTCAGGGCACATGACTGCCACCTGCCAGAAAACTCACATACTCTGATAAAAAAAAAATTATAACAATATGCTTTACTGCCATCTGCTGCAAAACTACTGCAGCACACACATGCCCTATGATGCACACTGCAAGAACAGCATCCCGGAGGGTTGTGCAGGGCACGGCCTGGGTGACAGCACCTGGCGCCCTGCACGCCGCCCGTCCTCCCGCAGATGCTCGAACCAGGCTCCCTGCACTGGGCGGAAGGCAGGCTGGAGTCATACAGACCGGCAGTTGCCACCCATGTGGTCCTTTCAGGCAGGTGCCTTGCCTTCCCTGGGCCTCAGTTTTTCCATCTATAAAATGACAGTCACACTCATTCTGACCTCATGGGGTGACCGAGCAAATGAAATGTGATAGGGGTCCCATAAACAATAGCGGTTCTCTCCCAGCATGGGGTCAGGAGTGCTTTAGAAAAGAGGATGATGGGTCCCCAGAAGGGAGCTGGGGTGCAGAGCATGCCCAGAGGGCCCTGTTACCTCTTCCTTGGAAAATCTCTCCGCCTGCGTGGTCAGCATCTCCTTAACGCTGCAGAGAGAGAAAAGCAGGTGTTGGCGCCAGGATTGTAGGGGGAAGCAGGGGGTCCCACGCCCTCCCCCACGGACCCTACTCACTAATCAGCCTTGAGCACCCCTTTGCCTTCGGGGTCAAACACTTTGAAGGCGTTGAGAATGGTCTCCTCGGGGTCGGCCCCTGAAACAGAAGTCAGAGCTGAAACATGCCTGGGAACCTGCTGCACCCCAGGGGGCGGGGCCCCAGCCCCACAAGCTCAGGGGCCAGAGCCAGTCCATATTGCTGAGACCCTGCCTTCCTCTGAGCACTGAGCCTTGATATTTTAAAAGAGTGGGCTGAGAATCTGATTATTTTTGAGCGAAACCCAAGTTCAAATGTGGATCTAGATTTACAGGACTGGGACTGGAATCCTGACTCCAGCATTTGTTAGCTATGTGACTTTCTGAGCCTCAGTTCCCCATCTGTAGACTAAGGAGGAGGATGGAACCTACCTCCTAGGTGCTATTAAATGGGGTAACGCCTACAAAGTGCTTAGCGCGAGGTCTGGCTCAGGGTAGGCCTCGGAGCAATGTTAGCTGCTGGGTGGGTTTTTTTTTTCCTCCCCCCCGCCCTGTAAGCCTGCCTCCCTCTTCTGGTGACCCCTGTCTAGTCTCCTAGTGCTTTAATGCACACCCAAGGATGAAGACACACAAAGATGGCCAGACAGGCACACACAGAGGTACACACAGGTGCACACAAACTTACCCTTGAGTTTCTCCCCAAACATTGTTAGGAACACCGTAAAGTTAATGGGACCTGGCGCTTCCTTTATCATGTCATCGATTTCATCATTTTGCACGTTCATACGCCCTAGGACAGGAAGCACACACTCAGGGCCCCCGAGGGGGGACAGAAACAGCTATTAGGACACTGGCGTTTGCCCTTGTGATTCCACTTCAGGGCACCTAGTCTAAGAATAATCAGAGACAGGGTGGGCAGGCCAAAGATTCAAGTGAGAAGATGTTCCTGACAGTGTTATTTATAATAGACAACTGGAAGCAACCCAAACTCTGACGTAGGAGGGGCTAGTTTTAAAATAGTGTCTTTAGAACCTGGAACATTTTACAGAGATATGTTAATATTTTACTCAAACAGGAAATGGTCATCTTATAAATGAGCTCTTCTCAGCTGGAGGTGGGAGAGGCAGGTCAGAATCCCTGGAGGGACCTTGTTCAGGCTCTACCTGCCGTAACCCATGCAGCCATGGCGGCTGGCACACCTGCCTGCTCCCGCCCTCACCACAGGCCCATGTGGTACCTTTGTGCAAATTAGAAAAAGATCCTCCTTCTTAAGCTCATTTATGTTTTAAATATAAAAACCTGCAGTGGCTGCTCTGTAGGACTGTGCAGTGTGCAACCTGGGCCACTGTCCATGGTGGCCCTGAGTTCTGGGACTAGGGGTGGGGGGTGAGCGGTGGCAGGTTGGACACGGATATTATGAAACAGCTCCATGTACTTAGGCTCACACTGCTGAGAAGCAAACTTTTAAAAGGCTGAATTCAAAATAAAATGATTCCAGCTCTGAGTGGTGTGGCTCAGTGGGTTGGGCATCATCCAGAAACCGAAAGGTTGCAGGTTCGATTCCCGGTCAGGGCACATGCCTGGGTTGCAGGTTCAGGACCTAGTCGTAGCACGTATAAGAGGCAACCAATACATGTTTCTCTCTCACATCAGTGTTGCTCTCCCTCTCTTTCTTTCTCTCTTCCCTTCTCTCAAAATCTCTTAGCCAATTTGATTTAAAAAATCTTTAAAAAAGAGGCACCAAAAATAGACTGATTCCAATTATTAACTCCCCTCCTCCATACACCAAGAAAAGACTTAGAGGCTGAAATGTGGGGGAGTGGACTAATGGGTAATGTCATTTTCTCCTTTATACTTTTCTCAATTTTCCAAGTTTTCTATTGTGAACAAGCATTGCACTCAAATCGCACAGAAAAAAGTTATTAAAAAAATGTGAAGACACTCACAGAGTAAAACCCTCCTTTCCTCTCCTCTGAAATTTGTCTTAGATGCCAATTGTGTTTGACCTGTTTCTTGGGAAAATGACAGGCTCTTCCCCTTAGTGATGGTCCCATCTCCCGGCCCTTGAGGGGGCAACGTACCGAGAGCAGCAAAGGTGTCCCTCAGGTCGTTCTTGTCGATGAAGCCATCCCTGTTCTGGTCCATGATGGTGAAGGCCTGTGAAAGGGAGGCGGTTGGCCGGTCAGTGGAGGAGAAATTGTGGGGAGGAGCCCCAGAGGCTGGGCCGCGGGGGAGGGGAAGTGAGATTCTGGGATTTTCAAGGAACGCTGAAGGGCATTAGACCCAGAGCCAAAGGTTTAAAGCAGGCCAGCCATGCCTCAAAATGTTAGGCATAGAGCTACCATGTGATCCAGCTATTCATTTGCTGGGTTTCTGGTCAAGAGAATTAAAACTTGTGTCCACACAAAAACCTGAACATGAATGTCCAAAGCAGCGTAATTCATTAAAGCCTGAAACTGCAACAGCCCACGTGTCCATCAGTGGAGGGATGGATAAACAAAACGTGGTCCCTTTCTATAAAGGGGTGCTATTCAGCCAGGAAAAGGAGCGAAATAATGACATACACTACCACGTCGGTGAGCCTTGAAACATGATGCTAAGGGGAAGAAGCCAGGCACAAAAGGCCACATATTGAGTGATTCGATTTCTATGGATTGTCTGGAACAGGCAAACCTATGGGGACAGAAAATAAATCAGTGGTCCCCAGGGGCAGGGGGAGGAGGGAAGTGGAGAATGACTGCTAAAGGGCACGAGGTTGCTCTTGAGGGCGATGAAAACGTTCTGAAATTAGACAGGGCATAACGGTCGCAAAGCTCTGTGACTATACTAAATAGCCACTGAATTGTACACTCACTTAAAAAAGGCAACTTTGTGGTATGCGAATTATATTTCTACAAAGCTGTTGTTGAAAAGAAAAAGTTAAAAACCAGGGTCTCATGTCTGCCTCTGACTCGCCAGTGCACGTCATCTGCCAGAGGGGGCTCGTGACCTCCCGCAGCTGGCAGGTGGGCAAACACTAAGTGCGCTGTGAACGCCCAGGCATTTTACGAATGTCGTGCCATCTCTGTGTTTTCCGAGTTCTCTGCTGCAGCTGATTGTTCAAGTATTTGCAGCCCCTGCTCACGCCCCCAGCAGCTGGTCTCATCCCAGAGACTGGGGGGGGGTGAGGGAGGAGGTGGCTGTTTCAAGTTCAGATATGACATTTCATCCCAGGAATTCCTCTTTCCCTGGTGGCCTTTGGAACATGACATTCCTGTGATCTGAACGTAAGTGGGGACAGATGGCACAAGTGTGCGCATCCCATGTGGACGTCCCAGTGGTTTCCCCCTTGCTGTCAAACACACTGGCGTCTAGGGTAGCTTAGCACACTTTCCCCTGAAGGGCCAGGGAGGAGTGTGGCTGACTCAGTGTGAGCCAGTCACGACTGCTGGAAAGAGAATTAATTGCCGGTCCTTCAAAACCTTCAGGAGGTGGCATACTTTTGCCTAACTGGTACCTAGTTTGCTTAAAAAGGCATAGTCCAGGAGAATGTGATAGGGTTTCAGGCCCTGCTGGTTTTTAACAATCAAGGAGTATAAAATCTGAAATCCAAGAGATACTGCTCTTCATCTCTCAGATTGGCAGAAATAATATTTTCAACTATTAATGCCCAATGTTGACAGAAATATGGGAGGGAAGCATTTTCTCCTCTTGGAGCCAGTAGGCTTAGGAATTAGCACCTCATTTCTGGAGAACATTTTGGACCAGTGATTCTAATTGTTTTTAGTTCCTTTTTTTTTTTTTTTTTGTTAAATCCCTTGACCCAGCAATTCTGCTTTTAGGATTTTACTCCAAAGAAATAACCAGAGTTAGTTATAAAAATAAAACATTCTAAACACATGTTACATCCCACCATTGGAATAAATGATAGATAATATTGATACTGAATCGCTCAAAGAAAAATTATCACACACTAATCAGCACGTGCAGAAGGTTGTAATTTTGTTTAAGAAATATATATATATATATAACAGATTGACTTGAAGGGTATATACCAAAATCTTAACTGATGCTTTACCTCTGGGTAGTAGAATTACAGGTCATTTGTATTTTTTTTATGCTTTTCTGAAAATGTTTTCTACATTTTCAACAAAAAATGGCTTTGATGACTAGCAAAAGTTATTAAAAACAATTTTTTGAAGTGGGGCACAGGCACATGCAGACTGAATCTGGGGCTGTTTGGAGGATAAAGACTTCTGAGCAGGAGGTCCCTGCAGGGAACGTGGAAGGAGGGGAAGGCGCTCCCTAATGGGGAAGGTGGTCTGTCCCCAGGCCCATGGTTCCGCAGCTGCACCCACCTCCTTAAATTCCTGAATCTGGGTCTGCTCAAACATGGAGAACACGTTGGAATTGGCGCCCTCTATTCTCTTCTTGGCTTTCTTGGGTGCCTACGGGAGAAAAAGCATCGATTCAAAGAGTCAGAAGCTGGAAATGAGAAAACCGGGTCAGGCCCAATCTCTGGGTGAACCTCTGCTGCTCATCTGTGAAACGGGGGTATGGCGTTCACACTCTTCTCAAAACGGTGACCCTGGTGGGATACAAAGACACAAAGTGACATTTCTCGAAGGCCCCTGGTTCTGGTGGATCACGAGAGATGGTGGATCTTGCAGCAGCTCCTAAAAACTCGGAGGAGTGGAGGTGTGTCTCCGAGGATCGAGGCCATACTTTCAGATCAGCCCTGGATGGGTCCAGCCACTTTTGTTCTGATGCATTTCACAAAAAGTTCAGTAATGCACAGAAGGAGAATTGATTGGAGGGGGGAAAAAGTCAGGCTCACTAAACCATGAGGAATGCCGAGATGAAATGACACTTTTTCAGGGTGTTAAAACCCAACAGCTTCCCCACCCCACACACAATTTTCCCTTGATCCAAATGGCAGCAAAATCTCTAAATGTTCTGGCCTTGTACCATGCAAACTGCAGAGAAGAGTGAGTTAACATTTCCCCCCACACTCTTCTCTCTGACTTTAAATAGTTACAGCAAATGCTTAAACACTGTCCACACATTATTTCATTTAATCCTCACAATTGCTCTGCCAAGTAGATGCTATTGTTCCTGCACCATTTTACTGGGGAGGCAGCTGAGGCTCAGAGACGTTGGGTCACTTGCCCAAGGTCACACAGTCACAAAAAAGCAGAGCTGGAGTTGAACTTGGGCAGTCTGGCTCTGGAGTCTGTGCCCCAATCCCTCCCTGATGCTGCCCCTCATCTGGGGGCTTCCTGCTTCGGGAGGGGGACACCTAACCAAACAACACACAGAGACAGGTTTTAATTTTGCAACTTCAAAAGGTGAAAACAAAAATCTTTTCCCCAGCTGCCTGAACAAGAGAAAAGACTTACAATTTGATCCTTAAAAGCATTCAATCCCATTTTGCAAGCCCTGGGAGTTATCGATTCCTCCAGAGGTCAGAAGACAAGCCATAAAAAAGCCGACTCTCTTATTTTGCTTTTGCAAGTCCCCGGGAGCTGCTGTTATTTGTGGCTTATCAGGGCATCGATTGGGGTTCCTCTGTGCACACACAGCAAGCAGCACTTTTTCCACCAGGGCCTGGGGTCCTCGAAAGCCGCCTTCCCCTTTCCCTGTAGTCCTTGGCTTGCCAGTGGCAGCCCCGTCTTGCCCTCCCAGCAGCACTCACCTCCGGGAGCCCCCCGCTACTCACCATGGTGGAAAGGACTTAGCGCTGCTTCCCTAGAACAATCCCCCAGGCTGCCCGCTCTCCGCCGCCGGAACAATAAATACTTCCTCCCCATGTTTAAAAATAACCCCATGACCACTTTTGGCAGTAATAGGTGAGGCGGAGGCCACCTAAGGGCCCCCCATCCCCCGTGCCATTCTTCTGAAGTAAGGGCAGCTCACTCACCACCTGGTGACACTTGAGACCCAAAAAGGCATTCAAGGTTAAAGAGACAGGCGGCTGGGTCATGGGGAGAGATGCTGTCTGCAGCGCTCGGGCAGGCACACTTGTGCTTGTCAGTCGTGAGAGCAAGAATGGCAGGGAGAGGGGGCGAAAATTCTCTAATGGTATCAGGTGCAGGTCCCACCTCAGGGCCTTTGCACCATTAGTTCCCTTGGCTTGGAATGCTTTTCCAGGTGACATCCCTGCCTTCAGAGCTTTGCTCCAGTGTCACTTTCTCAGTGAGCCGCCCCCGCCACCCTATGAAAGCAGCCATTCACGCCCTATACTCCAGCCTGTTCTGTTTTTCTCCACAGCCTTTCTCACCCCCAATACACTGTGGAATTCACTTATTTCTTTTGTTCCCAGCTCATGACTGGCACAAAGCAACTGCTCTATAGGTACTTGTCACTTGAAAGAATAACTCACCGAGCGCTTGCTCTGTGCCAGTCATCAAGAACCTATGTCTTAGGCTCGCATCAAATTTTCCAACCGCTCTTGTCGGGTAGGGACCACCGTTTCCCTGCGTTCCCATTTCACAGATGAGGAAACTGAGGCTGAGAGGTGCCGTGAGCTTCCCCCTGGGTCAGGCAGCGGTGGAACTGGGAGATCTGGGCCCATTTGCTTCCAGAGTCGGCCCCTCCTTAGCCTTGGAAAAGGCAGCTTGCCCTCAGAACACAAGGTGGCGTAGCTCTTACTCTCTCCCCGGGCTGTGTTCCTCCTCCGGCCTGCAGGCAGCCGTGGGGTCCAGGGAGTGAGACCTTGGGGCTTGGCATCGAGCTGTGGCCGCCTTCAGTGGGCGTGGGTGCGGGGCCCAGAGTCCATGCCTCTAAGAAAGAGGAAAACAAAAAAAATTTAGGGAAACACAAGTGAAACCCAAAAATGACTTTCTGGATTTTAAGACCTGATTTCTGAACTAAAAAATTAATAGATAAATTGCCCAAAAAAGTGGTTCCTATTGCAAGCCCCGTAGTGGCTGGAACAAGGATGTGCAGGGAATACCGCAGAGCAAAATCACAAAGAGACGCAGATAATAAGCAGCTCGGAAGGAGAGGCCGACAGTAAGCCAGCACAAGATGACCTCTGCACAACGTGAGGTCCAGGGTGCCGGCCAGCCCCGCCGGAAATCCGCGGGTAACTTCTGAGTCCGCAGACGGCCCTGAGCGTTCGCAGATTCGACACACTGCAGGCGGAGAGGGCGTTGGCCGCCCGCAGGCGGGAATCTGCGGCCGCGAATGAGAAGATACGGTTTCCCAGCCTCGGGTGGGTGAATCCCCGGATGCGAAACCCGCGGGTACGAGGGGCAAACGGTATTTTTGAGGGGGAAACCCGTGTATAAGTGGACCCCTGCATTCAAACCCGCCTTATTCAAGGGTCGGCGGTCACACAAGAACATTTTCTTCAGCTGAGGAGAGAAGGGGCCTGCAGGACTCCCACGCTGCGTGGGTGAGGAAGAAACACAAACCGCGGGCAAGGTCCAGGTAAAATTCACGAACTCCCAGGACTAAGAGACAACCTGACGCACTTGCTGGCAGACAGAACGTAGCTCCAGGGGCAAAACTCGGACCGGCCTCAGACTTCCCCTTGGTCACGCTGGACGCAAAGACGCAGAGAACGGGCTGCGGCGCACGGATCCGAGGCCCCCCAGGTCTCCCTCCTCCGCCAGCCTGAGAACAGCGGGGATATTTCCTTTCCGTTCTCCTCAAAACGACCTGGCGTGGCTTCTTGGAGTTTGGGGATCCGACGAACCACGGCGCGAACCCAGGCCATCTGTGTGACCTTCGGCAGGTGTCTGCCCCTCTCTGAGCCTCGGTTCCCTCGCCTGTAACATGGAGACGTAACTGCATTCACCTCGTGGGGGTGCCAGGAGGATGCAATCGGATAAACGCGTGAGCGCGTGATAAATGCCAGCCACTGTGATTGTTTTAGGGTGCTTGATTCTTAGACCTGGGAGGCCCCCCTCATCACCCCACCAACTTGGGACCAGGAAGTGGCTAACGTTTTCTCAGGCCTGGACCGTGCGCCCTAACCAGGCGGAGGGGAACCCTCAGTCGGGGACAAGCCCCTTTCCACCGACCCCGTGGAGCCTGCCCGGAGCGTCTCAGGGTCCGTGCCTGCACTTGAACCTGGGTCCGACGCCTTTGCTTGAGTCCACGGTGTTTTCAGTGGAACTGAAGGAGGCCTGGGGAGGAGAGGAGACAGGTGAGGAGCTTTGCATTTCTGTAAGCCTTTGATTCCCGCTTTGCAGATCCACGCTCCCGCTGGTTTCCTAAAGTAAACATTAACATTTTAAATCTCACAATGATACCTGGATGAACTGGCGAAAACGGGCCTGCTCCTTGGGACAGTGGGAGGAAGTACATGCTGGGGGTCGCCAGGGGTGGGTTGCCAGGCTTAGGGGGGAAAAAAAAAAAGCTGTGTACAGAATGCCAGTTAAATCGGAATTTGAGAAAAACGAGGAGTAGTTGGGGGTCATTCGGGGCACTGGGATTGTAGCGGGACCTGGGTGCCGGTTGCCCTGATGTTGTACGTGCGGGAAGATTCACCGAGCTGCACTTTCATGATCTGTGTCCTTCTCTGCATGCGTGTTACATGTCCATGAAAAGTCCAATTACTACACCGTGAGTGGGGATACCTTCTGACCGTGAAACAGTTTAAAACGTTACAGAAGTAGTTTGAGGATAGAGAGCTTCCTTTCTGTCACTTTGGCCAAATCCTCCCCAGGGGGGAACCTGTGTTTGTGGTTTGGTGTGAAGTCTTGACTAGAGTTTTTATTCTTTGTGCTTGAAGAAAAAGACCAAGCAATGGAGCTACACCTATAGCAAAACGGGCAGCTCTTCAGTGCCCAGTGCAGTGAGGCTTTCCATGGGCACCCCCTGGGTCGGCGCCCCCAGCTGAGACGCAGGACGCTCCAGCTCTCAGGGCTTCCGCGGGCGGCCCAGCCCCCTCAACAGCGCCCCCCCTGCCCCCGCCCCGGGACCATTTTTTGACCTCTAGCCCGTAGGTAGTTCTGCCATTCAGGAACTTTATAAAATCCCTTCCAGAATTTTTACAGTAAAATTTTAATTTTAGGATTTACAGAACAGTTGCCAAGTTCTCATATGCTTCACCCGATTTCCTCCAATGTTAACATCTTACGTTGCTGTGGGGCACTGGACCAGAGAAAGGGGTGGACACTGGTGTGTTACTATTGACTGAAGTCCAGACCTGGATTTCACTGTTTTGTTTGTTTTTCCATTATCATCTTTGTTTCTGGTCCAGGATATAAGTCAGGATACCACATTGCACTTTCTGACTCCTCCCCCTCTATTTGCCCATAAAAACATGCTTTTCTCCCCACATAACCATCATACCACATGCATACATACATGTACATAAAAATGCACTTTTTCACAGTAATGGCATCATAACTCACACACACACAGACACACACCAGCCACCTGGGCCCTTTTACTCCATGACTGATGCACCTGTAGACCTTTGGAGGCGTCCGGAGCCCTCACCTCACTCATGAGGATGGGATGCGCGCCTGGGATGCGCACCCTCCTCCCTGGCTGCTGAGTGAGAGGCTGGTGGCAGAGCCAGGTCTCCCAGGGGGCACAGCTGACACGTGCTTAGAGCACCAGCTGAACGGAGTGCCAAGAACAAAACAAAAACCCAACAAACTTTTTTTCGGAAAGGATTAGATATATTTTTTACCGAAGAGTAGCATGGTCACCACAGGGAGATAGGGACATTGTGGGAAGGTCTTGTGCTGGTTTGGCCATTTCAAACTGTTTTTATCATTCATTTCCTATGAGGAGGTGGGAATCCACATCTTTTCAGTTTGGAGGTCTTTTAAAAGTTTTTATCCAGCTCCAGCTGGATTAAAGATGCTGGAGGCATTTTTAAAACTTCTTTCCTTTGCAGACACTGTTTCCTCTTCAGTTTCCTGAATTCAAGTCCAAGTCATTATATACTACCTTGTAAGGTAAAAAGGAAACCCTTCTCTCTACAGTTGCTTTATAAAAATTCTTCAGCAGATCAACTGAGTTCATGCACTGATATTAGTAAATTAAAACTTAATTTAGTAACGTTCACTTAGGAAAGTGCCATAGAGGTGCTCGCTGTGATGCCGTTGGAAAGTAACTGCCTTAGTGGGTCTGCTTGCCTCGGGGCGTAGAGCCCCTTTAAGGAGGGTGGTGAAGTCAGCCTGTCTCCCACAGAACAAAGGCCTACGAGGCCCTGCCAGCCCAAGGCGGGGTGGCTGATAGACTCTGTCATCAGGTGATAGTGCCTATCTCCCTGTGTCAGGGCCCCCAGGCGTCAGCGAGGCCTGCCAGTGGGAAAGGCAGCTCCTCCAGTAAGTGGGCCAGGCCTTGTACCCAGGGCGGGTGGGTCAGCCGCATTGATGGGGCACCCGCTGTATACCAAGTGCAACTTGGCCGTGCGACGTTAGCAAACTGTGCCTCGGTTTCCTCCTCTGTGAGACGGGGACAGTAGTGGTCCTTACGGCACAGCATTCCTGTGAGGGTCAGCGGAGCTCACAAATAGTGTAAGGTGCTAGCACACTGCTGGGCACACAGCGAGAGCTCCGTAAACTCAGCTTATTCCAGAGTGTGGACCGTCAGCCACGTCCTGGGAGATGGGGGTAAAAGGGATGACATGGTTAAATACGAATTTGTTTTCTTTCTTCTTCCTCCCCCAAACCTTTTTTCTATTAATGACCTCATTGCTCTCTTGGGCACCCAGATCAAAACCTCAGCCACCTTGACTCTGCCCCATTGGTGACAAAGTCTGTCTATTCTGCCTCTAAAATGTCTTGCAAATCCTTTCCTCCCCACCCTGTC